AAACTTTAACTTTAATATTTTAATAATAGCTTTAATCGGGCCGTAACCTGTGTAATAATTTTCTCAACTGACGTCAAAAGTCATCCTAATATTTAATTTCAAAATAAAAAAAAAATTCTTTTTGTTTGCCTATTTTGAATCATCAATATCATATAATAATTATTTCAACTACATTTCATCATGATACTCAACAGACAGTTTAGAGCAATAAAACTACCTTCTTCTTTTATTGAATGTGCGTATTTCACAATGGCTTTTCTCTAATCTTGCAAGTTTCAACAGGTTTCAAAATATTACATTTTTTTGTATCACACCTATTACCCAAAAAAACGCAATCGCAATTTTTTTATGAATGGGATTTAATCTCAAATGTTTCGCTTATATGCGAATCAATCAGGATTTTTTATCTAGTAGTGCAACATGAACCTGCACTTAAAGGTAAGAGATAATTTTTTAAATTGCAAAAAATTTGTTGATTTAAACTACATAATTACAATTATAATTTTAATTATAATTATTAATAATCAATTTTAATTATAGTTCTAATTAATTCTAATTACTTCTAATTACTTCTAATTTTTAAAAAAATGAATTTATAAAATAATTAATTATTAATAAACATTTGCTATTTTTTTATTTTGACAAAAAACTATAGCCAGAGGTCAACTATTTAATTATTATTATTAATTTATAATAAATTATAGTGTTTATTTACTATCCTTACTCAGAAAAGATTCGAGGATAATTTATTATTAGTTAATTATTACTAGTTATTAATTAATTAATATTAGTTAATTATGATAATGTATTCATAAATTATTAATATTTTATTATTATTTTATTATATTATAATTATATTATAATTACAAATTATGATTAAATTTTATTCTCGATTTTATTTATAATTGTGGAATTATAATATTATTCATTGAAATTTATTCATTTTACTTGTACTTAATTTGTAATTACTATATTTTAAATAATTTCGGTAAATTGATTGATAATAATACCTAGTAATTAATAATAATAATAAAAATAAATTAAGACTAAAAGGGAAAAAAATTGAAAAAACGGAAAATTTAACCGTTCGGAATTTTTCTATATAATTAGACAAACTCTATAAATGGACGTGAGATATTATTAACTCTTCACGCATAAAATGTAAACTTTCGCAGGTGTAAAAGTGTCATCACACATTCAAGTTCATTCAATATTTTTCGTCAGTGCGATTTTACTGGAATTTCTCTAAATGACGTCATAGAAATATCACGTACGTATCGAGATTCGATTTTGAGAATTACTCTTCCAAGATTTTTGACGTTTTTCGTTGAGATAAAATAGTTGGTATTTTTTGTAATTTTTATAGCCAATTCCTTTGGTTTTCCAACGAAAGAATTTCGCTAAAAATTAAAATCTAGTAATTAAATTATTATTAATTAATTATTAGATTATAATTAATTAACATTTAATTAATTATTATTTAATTAATTTTTAATTACTAATTAATTAATGTTTAATTAATTTATAATTGTTAATTAATTTATAATTCGTTTAATTAAAAAATTATTAAATCGATGAAAGAATTTTACGAAAAATTACAATCGATTGATTAATTAATTCTTAAATTATAATTAATTTACAATTCGATTAAATTTGATTGACAATTTAATAATTTCTTGTAATTTACAGTTTTTTCGAAAATTAATTTTTTTTTACTAATTTTCGAATTTATGCAAAAAAATTTAATTTATTTTTATAACCTGTTAACTTGAAATAAGTAAATAAATAAATTTTCGAAAAGTTTAATTAAGAAAAAAATAAAATTTCAAAGAGACGAGTAGTAATGCTGCATAATATGAGATTAGAAACATATTCAACATTTTGTTGACAGTAAAACTCACCGGAAAATGAAACAGGTGATTCCCAATAGAATGCAACCTTTTAGAAATAATAATCTGCACATTCATTGTTGCATTTTATCTTTTGAAACTATATTTGAACAAAAAATTTTCTGCGGCATGCCAATATCATTCCTTCATTTTTTATCACTTCTACAATTTACGAATTCAATGTTTGTATAGAATTTTTTTTTTTTTATCAAAAAATATTCTCCTTCACTTCCTCTCATTTTCTTAGATTTTAAATATGACCCAAAAAATAAAATTGACTAATAATAATAATAATTGTAAAGTAACAATATCAGTTGTAGAATTTATCGCACTCAATGAATGAATTCCAAGAGGTGAGACATTACGATACCTTAGGTACATGTACGTATTGTTATTAATGGGTAAGTTTCTCCAAATTGAGTCACTAAGTAAGCTCTGATCTATTTAAGGGAATTATTTTCAATTTTCAGTAGAAAATAAACTTGAATGACATACTGAATGAAATAACTATACTCGATGTGAAATAATAATAATTGTTACGAAAAATCTCCTTTAATCTGTGTTTCCAAATCAATTTTTCATTTTTCATTGGAAACTATTAATAAATAATTTTATTAATCACTTGGAGATTATCGATCTTTTATATAATATGTTATTGCGTTTGGAATGTCAATCAATTTCTTACGATTATCAAACTAATGAGTTCGGAATTCCAAAATTTTTAAAATTTCATAAATTAATTTAATTCATCAATTTTTTTTTAATTTTAACAACAATTTTGTCCGAAGTTTGTAACAAAATTTTCATTGTAAATTACTTTCAAAATAAAATAAAAATAAAATATAATGGAAAATGAAAAAAAAATTATAAAAAAAATATTTCTAGATTAGAAAGACAAATACAAAATTGACAAAATACGTACATAATTTACGAAATATTTTCAAAATTATTCTACAATTGTAATTAAAAACAATTTTTATTTAAAAATTAGATCAACATAAAAAAGAAAACATAAATAAAAATAATGCTAAGTAGTCAAGTGGTTAGAGTCTCTTATTTGCAATGAAAAATCCAGGGTTCGATTCCTTGCAAATTTTGTGGGAATTTTTAAAAATAAAAGCAAAACAAAAAACAGTGAATAAATTAATTAATTCAAATATTTTAAGGCAAATTAAAATAAGAATTTAAATTAAATTTCAAAAAAGAGAAAAAACTTCAAAAACATATTTCTAGATTAGAAAGAAATAAATATGAAAACTTACAAAATGCGTACAGAATTTACAAAATATATACGAAATTATACTAAAATTGTAAATAAGAATTATATTTTAAAAAATCAAATAAAATGAAAAAATAAAAATAAGTAGTCAAGTGGTTAGAGCTTCTGATTTGCAAAAAAACGTCCAGGGTTCGATTCCTTGCAAATTTTGTGAGAAATTTTAATTATTAATAAAAATAAAAACTAAATAAATTCAATATATAAAATATATAATTTAAATAATTCGAAAAGATAAATTTGATTTTAATTTCAAAAAAGGGAAAAAAATTCGATAATATAGTAATTAATAAATACAAAATACGTACAAAATATACAAAAAAACATAAAATTATACTATAATTTATAAATATAACAATTTTGATTTCAAAATATAATTAAAATAAAAATAAAAATGGAGAAAATAGAAATAAAAATAATTGTAAGTAGTCAAGGAGTTAGAATCTCTGATTTGCAAGAAAAAATCCAAGGTTCGATTCCTTGCAAATATTGTGCGAATTTTTATTAATTAATAAAAGTAAAAAAACTACAATAAATAAAATAAATACTGTAAATAAAATAATTCATTTAAATAACTTTAAAAAAATTAAATAAAGATTTAAAATAAAATAAAAATTTAAATAAAAATTTAAATAATAAGTAAATATTTAATTTTACTTATTATTTAAATTATTATTTATTACTATTATGTATGCTTCTGATTTACAAATGAAAAATCAACAGTTCGATTCCTTGAAAATTTTGCAAGAAATTATAATAATTAATAAAAATAAAATAAATTGAATAAATAAAACAAATATTTTAAATAAATCAAAAAGATACATTTTAATTTAATTTAAAAAAGGGAAAAATTTCAATAAAATTATTTCGATATTAGAAATAAATAAATAAAAAATATGTGCAGCATTTACAAGACACATACAAAATTAAACTACAATTTATAAATAATAATTTTGATTTTAAAATATTATGGAAATAAAAAAGAAAATAGAAATAAAAATAATCATAAGTGGTCAAGTGGTTAGAGTATCTGATTCGCAAGGAAAAATCCAGGGTTCAATTCCTTGCATGTTTTGTGAGAAATTTTTTTTTTTTTTTTAATTTTTTAATTTTTAAAGTAAAATTTAAAATGAAATAAATATATACAAAAAATAAAATAATTAAGTATTAAAAAAAGTATAGTTAATAATAATAAAAAAATAAAAAAATAATAAAATAAAATAGTTAAAATAATTCATTATAAATTGAATTAAATTTCAAAAAAGGAAAAATAGCTCGCAACAATTATTTGTAGTTCAGAAAAAAATCCATAACAAAATTTACAAAGTAAAAACAAAAATTACAAAAATGCAAATGCAAAACTTACAAAATGCAAATACAAAATTGCAAATACAAAATTTTCAAAATGCAAATACAAAATTTACAAAATGCAAATACAAAATTAACAAAATTCAAATACAAAATTATACATTACATTGCAAATAAGAGAATGGCAAATCCTCTTAACAAGAAAATGATTTCATCAATTTCCAATAAATCGCAATCGAAAAAAAAATCTTTGGTACAAAGTATATTTTAATCTACGATAAGTGATCATGAATTTGTCACGTTTAAGGAATCCTAAGATTCACAAAACGATAAGCTTATGATAGTGATCAGAAAATTTTTTTTATTAATTAAAATTCCTAGCCACTGTTTCACGAAAATTTCAGTATATATAAAGAGAGCATTCGCCACAGACAGCGCGAAATTTCACTCTCTCGAATTAAAAAAAAAATCCAATCAAAAAGAATATATATATGTATCTATATCGATTTGAACAAAAATTTCTCCCGCCCGCGCGTACGAATGGCACGAGACGTCGAACTTACGTGCGTACGTTTCCGATTGTTTACACTTTGGCATATATAAAGGAGGAAGCACGAAGGTTTGACAATCTCAGTTCACGATCTCACGCCACAACGTTCAGAATACATATATATATATATATAGTACTTAATCCATAACTGCTATCAGTAATTAAATCCACATACGATATATACATATATATACATGTGAGCAGAGGATTGATAAAAATAATAATAATAGAGTGAAAATTAAGTGAGTCATTAGTAAAAAAAAAAAGTGAAGTTATACAAAAAAGGAAAAAATGAGTCAAATGAATTTTAGTGTTTTTGTTCTGTTGGTCCTGTCAATTTTGGCGATTGTTATGACAGCGCCAAGTAGGACGAGGAGAGCGACACCCTCGTGGCATAAGCCATGTGGAATGCTACAGGAAACGGAAGTCACCTCTGGCAATGAAGGCGAGGATTTAAGAATTAGCCTTGAGAGTATTAAACTTCAGCATGTCTTGACTATGAATAATTATTTGAGTCGAGATTATGATTTTCTTTACGAGAGAGCGAGGCGAGGGGTGCACAGGCATCAGTATATTCCAAATTGGGTGCCCGGCGAGAAGGACGTTAATTCAGTTCGGAAATTGGCGAAATCCTCTTCACAAATGGTGAGTTTTTTACAAATTGTTTGTTGTTTTAAAAATTAAGATTTATATTATTTGCATTCAATTGTTTCTTTCTTTTCTAATTATTTCTTCTTCTTCTTCTTATTTTATTCTTTTTATTATTATTATTATTATTATTATTATTATTATTATTATTATTATTATTATTATTATTATTATTATTAATTAAATATTTCTGGAAGCCATAAAATAATATAAATAAAAAATGTTTTGATTCTTCTGTTTGGCCTAATAGCCATTAGGCCAAACAGAAGAATCGAAACATTTTTTATTTATATTATTATTATTACTGTTATTATTATTTTTTATTTACTTATTTTATTTATTAATTTTCTTTTACAATTTGTTTATTGTTTTATTTCCATTAATTTTGTTTCTATCATTATTTTTACTAACTTTCTAAGTTTGCTTTTTATTTTGTGAGAAAAGAAGGAAGAAGCTTTATATTTATTACTTCTTTCATTATTTTTTATTTATTTATTTATTTATTATTAACATTTATTACTTGAACTTTATTTACATATTTTTTATCTTATTTCATTCCATTAAAAAATACATATTTTAGAAGATTATTTCTCTCTGAATAATAACAGATAAAGAATAAATAAGTATTAAATAATAAATGGTAAATAATAAACAATAAAGCTATAAATAATTAAATATAAAAGCAAATGAGTAAATAAGCGACTTTCTAATTTCACTATTTTTTATTTTTTCCTTCATTATTTTTTTCATTTCTTTTTTTATTTTTTTTTATTATTTAATTTTTATTTTTTCTTCTTTCTTATTGTAATTTATTTTATTTATTTAAATTTATTCTATTGTAATATATTTTATCTAATTATATTTATTTTATTGTTATATATTTTATTTATTTCATTTTATTTGATTAAAAACACCTATTTCAACAATAATATAAGTAAATAATGAAATTAATAAAACAGTGAAACAAGTAAACAAAAAAAAAGATGTAAATAATGAACTAAATAGAAGAGTAAATAAAATTAATTCTAGTAGTAAATGAATAATGAAGTAAATAAATAAAATAAGTAAATGAAGAAAGAAAATAATTATAATATTTTAGTAAAATTACTAAATAAAGCAATTGATGATGTAAATTAAATTAATTATGAATCTCAAGCTTAATTTCAATTAATATTTTTAATAAGAAAGTCAATTAATAGCTAAATAAGCAAATATTGAAGTAAATAAGTAAATAAAGTATGTAAATATAGATGTAACGCAAGAAATAAATAAGTAAACAAAGTATGTAAATATAGATGTAAAACAAGAAATAAATAAGTAAATAATAAAGTAAGTTATGTAAGTAAATAAAATTGTTAAATATATCAAAGAAAGAAGTAAATAAAGAAGTAAATAAAGCAATAAATAAGTAAATAAAGAAGTAAATAATTAAGTAAATAAAGCAATAAATAAGTAAATAATGAATCAAAAAATAATAAATAAATATGGAAATAGAGAAGTGAATAAATCATTAAAGAACTAAATAAGCAAATAATGAAGTAAATGAGTAATTTATTGATGTAAATAAAATAATCTAAATAAGTAAACAAAGTAAATAAAATAACTAAATAAAGCAAAAAAAAAAAAAAAAAAAAAAAAAAGAATAAGTAAAGAACTAAATAAGTAATTTAAGTCAGTAAATAAAATAACTAAATAAAGCAAATAAAGAAGTAAATAAAGAATTAAAAAAATCAAGAAAGAACTAAATAAGTAAATAAAGATGCAAATAAAGAACTAAATATGCAAAAAAGAAGTAAATAAATAAATTAAGACGTAAATAAGGGAATTTATTAGTAATTTAAGTTAAAAAAGAACTAAATAAGTAATTAAACAAGTAAATAAGTAAATAAAAAAGAAAGAAGAAAATAAACAAGTAAATCATCAAATGTAAAATCAAGTAAACGATTATATAAATAATTAAATGAGAAAGAAAATAATGAAGTAATTCATTAAATAAAAAAGTAAATAGAAGAGTAAATAAGTAAATAAAAAGGAAATAAAAGAGTAAATAAGTAAATAATAGAAAAAAAGAACTAATAAAGCAAATAAAGAAGAAAATAAGTAAATAATAGTAAAAAAGAACTATTAAAGCAAATAAAGAAGAAAATAAGTAAATAAACAAGTAAATATATGTAAATAAAAGAGTTTTAATATTTTCATTTAATTTTAATTCAAATTAAAAAATCAAGACCTGATTTTAATACAAGAATATAATGAATGAGTAAATAAAGAAGTAAATAAGCAAATAAAGAAGTTTATAACTATGAAATCAAGTAAATTAAGTAAATAAAGGAAGAAAGAAACTAAATATGTAAATAAATAAGTGAACAAGTAAATAGACAAGTAAATGATAAATAAACATGTAACTAAATAAATACACTAGTAAATAAACAAGTAATAGTAAATAATAAATAAATCTAAGCATGTAAATTGAATTTCACATCTCTACTTCGGGAAACTTTACTTATCCTCAAACTTAAATTTATTTTTTCCTACAGATTTATTTCTTTCTATTCAATTTAAAAAAAATGAGTTCTACTTTTGGAGTATAAAATAAAATTTACAAAATAATAAAAAATGGATAAAAAAAACCTAAAAAAAAACAAGTAAACTTAAAAGTAAATATGGGAAAAAATTTTCAATTGGAACAACTGCAAATTTTACTTGATTAACGAAATTTTTAGTTGCTTTAGTTGAAACTTTTTGCTATTTTAGAGAAACTTATCGCTACTGTAGGTAAAAGTTTTTTTTTCGTTAATGTTTATTTACGAAAAAATTTTTTTTTTATGCAAAAGTAAATTTAATGTAAACAAATACTTAAAAGTAAACTTCATGTAAATAAATACTTAGAAAAAAGCAAATTTGAAGTAAATAAATACCTTTAAAGAAAAGTAAACTGAAAGTAGAAAAATTTTTAATTAAAGTAAACTCAAAATCAATTAATACTTCGACAAAAGAAAACTTGAAATAAATAAAAACGTAAACAAAAGTAAACTTAAGTAAATGAATACTTGAATAAAAGTAAACTTAAAGTAAATAAATACTTGGACAAAGTAAACTGAAAGTAAGTAAATAATGAAAAGTAAACTTAAGGTAAATACTTAAAAGCAAACTTAGAGTAAATAAGTACTTAAAAGTAAATTTAAAGTCAATAAATAAAGAAACTTAAAAAAAACAAAAAATAAACCTAAAGTAAATAAATACTTAACAAAAAGTAAATGAACTAAAACTGAATAAACTCAAAGTAAATATACGTAAACAATGTAAGCATAGAGCGAATTAATCTGAAATCGAATAAACTTGAACAAAAATAGAAAAGAGTAACTAAGACTACAATTAAATTATAATTTACATGATAATTCCATTTACCGCAATAATTTCTCATTTTATAAAAATAATTTTGTCAATTGCTAATAATATTAATTAATTAAATATTAATTATATTAATTAATATTAATTCTCGATATTTCGCCAATTATCGAGACAGAAATCAAATTAATTTTCTCGAAAAAGGAAAAAAAAAATTCCCTAAGACTAAAATTAACGCAATAAAATTATTGGGGTAGGACATTAATAATTATACATAGATGATATTAATGAGTTATGTGCATTTCAGCGTAAAGTCATTAATATTCATTTCCACTGAGTGTATTAAAGCACGTGGTGGAGGGTGCGTTTAGTTATGCCGCGATTTTCTCTCCATCTCTCTTTCTCTCACTTTATATATGTATATATCCGCGATATTATAAAGCCGACCCTCCCCGTGAAAGTTGTTTTGTCCAAGCGTTGATTGTTTGCATAAAGATATACACGTGTACATGTATCGCTTTTTGCCCCAGACATAAATTGTGCTTGCAATTGATTAACGTTAAATAACAAATTTTAATGAGACAGTAATTATTATAAAGTACCAGGGGAACAGAAAAGCGGTGGTCGGTTCTCGCAATGCGCGCGTATAGCCTTCTGCTCGCCGTGTCCCGCGACTGCGTAATCGGAACTCGAACGCCAACTGAAAACTGATAACAACTTTTATCCCTCCCTCCCTCCCACTTTTCTCTCTCCTCCTCCTCCCATCGAAATGCAAGCTCGCAATCGTTTTTTTATTATTTACATCTCTCTCTCTCACTCTCTCGATACATATAGTGATGTCAGATCATTCACGTCACGATATGTATACAAGATTCCACAATCGTGTGAAAAATTCTTTTTATACGTAATCTTTCTGAAGCTCTTCATCATCCGTAGATCATGGATGCAATTTTTTATTTGCAATTCGTTATGTTGTCGTTTTCATTTTTTTTACTGTTTTTTTTTTTTCATTATTTAGTTAATGTATGAAAGGGCAATTTTTGATAAGCGTCAATTTTTTAAATAACAAAATAAAGTATTGTTCTAACTTGTAAATAAAAACTTTACTGTTTTTAGTTGTTACCTATTTTCCAGACTTGCTATTTATTGTTTCGCAATGAATTTATTTTCACGATGACTGTTATAGATTATCAAATGTCCTCTCCTTGGATTAAAAACGCAGATTAGAGATTATTTAATAGTGCGGTTTTTTTTTTATTAGAAAAAAGCACTTGGAGAAAAAAGTGACTTCAAATAAATATTTATACTTGAGGCGATTTTTTTATTTACTACAAATAATAGCAATAAATTTTGTGTCTAAATTGAAAAAACTAAATAAGGAATAAATAAACAAAAATAATAAAAAATAAATAAAAATAAAAAAAATAATAAAAAATATACAAAAAAAATAAATAAATTTTAAAAAAATAATAAAAATATACAAAAAAAATAAATAAATTTAAAAAAAATAAAAAAATTATAAAAAAATAAAAAATTATAAAAATAAATAACAAAAAGAATATAACAAAAATTAACAAACAAATAAATAAGCTAAAAAAAATGCAACAAACTAAAAATAAACTAAACTATAACTGTACCCAGAGAAAAATTTTATTTAATCCAAGTATAATTTATTTGAGTTAAATAAACGTTACCTAATTTGTCTCAGAGTCTACTAAATTATTTATTTATTTCAAATAGAACTAACAAAAATAAAAGAAAATTAAAATTTTTATTTGAATCAAATAAAATTTACTTGAAACAAATAATTTAATTCGGGAAAATTCTTAAATAAAAAAAAATTAAAAAAGTAATTAAAAATCCTTGAAAATATTTCTACGAATTAATTTTTCTGAGAAACTAATAAAATTTATTTAACATTTAATAATAAATGAAACATTAAATAAAATAATAAATAAATATTCCTTAAAAAACAATAAGATTTTTTATTTTTTATTTCAATAAAATTTTTTTTACTAATTTATTACATAGAAAAAATTTTATTCTTATAATTTTTTAATTAATTTAAATAAACACATTCGCAAGGTCAATTAATGGAAATTATTTAATTTTTAATAAGTAATTTTGAAATTTTTGTGAAATACTGTTGACAAAAATCTGTAAAAGTAAATTTTGACTAGAAACTAATGAAAATTTTTTTTTAATTTATATTAGTTTTAAATCAGAAATATATTTTTTTTCAAGTAAAAGTTTTTTTGATTTTAAACAATTGTTTCCATAAACTGATTAATTTACACTAATTTACATTATTTTACATAACTTTACATAACTTTACATTTAGTTTACATAAATTTACAATTAATTTACATTAATCTACATTAATCTGCATGATTTTACATAAATCTACGTTAATTTACTTAAATTTACATTAATTGTAAATTTTTACTATTTATTTTACATTTATAGTGAAAATTTTACATTTCAAACAATCTGTACACAAGCTTTCTATATTTTAGCAAATTTAATATTCTGTTCTTTAAATAAAATTTAACATAAAATTAGTAAAAAATAGTGACTGATTTTTATGTAATTTTCTTTAAAAATCTATTTTTTTGTTTTATTTTTTATTAGAATGAAGTAAATTTAATGTTTTAATTTACTTTAAACAAATCTTTAGTAGACTTAAATAAATTTGGTTTTGTTCAAATAATTTTTATTAGATTCAAATACAATATATTCGGTTCAAAAAAATTTTGTTCGAGTCAATAAATTTTTATTATTTGAAAGTCTAATTGAAATTTGAATTTGAAAATATGTAGAAAAATTTGTTCAATACAAATATCATTTGATTTAAATATAAATATTTTTCGGTTCAAAAAAAATATTATTTTTGGTTCAAATAAATTTTATATGATTCAGAAAAATTTTAGTTGATTTAAATATGTTTTAGTCGGTTCAAATAAATATTAGTTTGATTCAAATAAATTTTATTTGGTTCACATAAATTTTATTTCATTTGAATAATTTTTATTATAGATTCAAATTAACTATGATTGGATCAAATAATTTTTATTATATTCAAATAAATTTAGTTTTGGTACAAAAAAAGTTTTATTTGATTCAAATAATTTTTATTAGATTCAAGTAAATTTTACGTGATTCAGATAAATTTTATTTGCGATTCAAATAAATTTTTATATGAAATGAATTTCATTTGGTTCAAATAAGTTTTTGTATGAAATGAATTTTATTTGGTTCAAATAAATTTTTATATGAAATGAATTTCATTCGGTTCAAATAAATTTTTATCGGAAATAAATTTTATTTGGTTCAAATAAATATCATTTGATTTAAAATAAATTTTTATACTATTCAAATAAATATAATTTTGATTCAAATAAATTTGCTATACGATTCAGAAAATTTTTAGTTGATTGAAACAAATTTTTTACAATTCAAATAAATATTCTTTGATCCAAAGTTTTTTTTATACGATTCAGAAAAACTTTAGTTGAATCAAACAAATTTTATATACGATTTTGAAAAATTTTAGTTGAATCAAATAAATTTTACACTATTCCGAAAATCTTTAGTTAAATCAAATAAATTTTACACGATTCCGAAAAACTTTAGTTGAATCAAATAAATTTTATACAATTCCGAAAAACTTTTACTGATTCAAATATAAATAAATTCAAATAAATTTAGTTGGCGCAAATAAATTTTATTTAATTCAAAGAAAGCTTTACTTAATCAAAGTAAATTTTACTTAAAGTCAAATAAACCATTTTTCTAAGTGAATTAAGTACTAATTTTTTTCTCTAATCAATTATCACCAGTATGAAAATAAACAGTAATAATGTTAATAAATAGAAAAATAAGTAAAAAAGTAAAAACCAAAGAAAATAAGTAGAAAAATAAGTAAAAAAGTAAAAAACAATGAAAATAAGTAAAAAAGTAAAAAAAACAAAGAAAATAAGTAGAAAAATGAGTAAAAAAGTAAAACAACAAAGAAAATAAGCAGAAAAATCAAAAGCAGTGAAAAATAATAAATAATAATAAAAAAATTCCTATTTTTTTTTGTCTCAGATTGCAAGTCACTTACCGAAGATGCATTTGGACCTGCAAAAGTTCGCCGTTGCATTCGAGGAGTTGATGGAGGATGAGAGAAATCCAAGAATTTCGGATGCCCTGAGAGACACTCATTCTTATCTCATAATGATGTTGTGCGAAGTAGAGACCAACATTGTTTTACTGCCGTCTCTGCAGGTGCCACCAAGGGTCGAAAGAAGCATCATGTCCACTGAGGATCGTGACCCCGTTGACGATACAAGACGACTTGTTCGCGATTGGGGTATCCTTTTGAAGTACAGAGATTATCTTCACGGTTGGCGGCACGTTTTTGATTACTAGAAAAAAGAAAAACACATTTCCACATAAATTAAAATGCCTTTAGTGGTTTTTTACAAAAATCACCAAGTATTTCAAATTGAAAGCATTTATATATTCTTAGAGGAATTTAATAGTTGACACAGTAATTTTTTTTTTCTAGAACCAAAGAAACCTCATGAAAAATAGTCTGTTTTAAGACTCTCGAGGATTATTTATTTTCTTAATTATTAACGTTTGCCATTTGTCAGAGAATTTTAATTGAAAATTTAAAAAAAAAATTTATTACAAGAATTAAATTTTTCTCCAGGTGCTAAAAAATTAGAATAAGAAAGAAAATTATAATTATAATATTAGAAAGAAAATTATAATTTTCTCCAAGGGATAAAAAGTTAAAAGTTCTCGACAAAAAATGTAGATAGATTTTTTATTTATTGTATTTATATTGACGAAGCATTAATATGTAGATTAGATTTTATTTATTTTTCTGCGTAAGCAAAAATAAGATGTAAAAAAAATTTTTAAAAAAATCTCTTTTGTAGTTTTAGTTAGAAAATAATTAATTATTTATTTTAGTAGTGAACTTATTATTTGTGCAAACAAAAATGAGATGTAAAAAAGTTTTTCAAAAAAAATCTCTTTTGTAGTCAATTAATTATTTATTTTAGTAGTTAATTTATTTTTTGCGCAAACGAAAATGAACAAAAAAAATTTTTTTGTAGTCTGAAAATAATTTTTCCGAAAAGGGGAAAATTGGTCTAATAATGTGATTAGAAAATTAATAAAAAAAAATTTTTTTAAATAAAATAATAAAATTAGTAAATTAGGAAAATTGTTAAAAAAAAATTGAGTGTGAATTCGACGATGACGCGAATAGGAATGGTATGCTGTATGATGAATTTAGTACACTTATTAAACCATCTGTCGATTGCATTTTCTGCAATGATTAAGTAAGACAGGTGCGTCATAATGACGACACGATTAGATGCGATATGTCATAATTAAAAATGTATTATCAGTTAAATCATAGTTATTCCAGAACTAACTGACTGTATCGAATATTTATCGAGGATGATTGTATTTATTATTGCTCTCACAATTTACTGTATTTATTATTTATTCATCGAGGCTGAGATTTATTTATTATGTACTGTAATTATTTATGTAGATTCGTTAAATTATTCTCTCTGTAATTTATTTTTATTCGTATCATTTTTTTAAAATTTTATTTATAAATTATTTTGGTAAATTTTCTTGTAAACTTTTCTAGAAAATTTTATTTTTATAAATTGTTTTGGTAAAATTTTTTGTAATTTTTTCTGTAAAATTTTATTTTTAAACAGTTTTGGTAAATTTTTTGTAATCTTTTCTGTAAAAACTTATTTTTAAATTTTTTTTGTAAATTCTTTTTGTAAATTTTTTTTGTGAATTCTTTTTGGAAATTCTTTTTGGAAATTCTTTTTATAAATTCTTTTTATAAATTCTTTTTATAAATTCTTTTTGTAAATTCATGTTGTAAATTTTTTGTTTTTGATAATTTTTTTTTAATTTCAATTGTAAATTTTGTTTGTAAATTGATTTTTTTTTTTGTAAAATTTATTTATTACTAGAAAGTTAAATGGAATGTGCATAAAAATTCTTGAGGACGTTAAAGCTCAAGTGATATTGGCAAAAGTGTACTTTTAGAATAGTATTAGATTATTTATAAGGAAAGACACATTTGCGAACATTTTTTTTCTCGCACTCAGTATTATCAAAAATGCATTGTAATTCATTGAAAACTTCGGCATCACATTTATTTATTTTGTAGTTATTTAGTAATTTATTCTTTTTTATACAAGACAAAAATTTGATAAACTGATTTTCATATTATATTATGTGACTCTGTTGTTTCATTACAAACCAATTAACATTTCTTTTATAATCTCCCATCTGTGTTAATTATTAATTTTACTATTATTAATATTATTAAATAAATAATAAATAATATTATATAATAATAAAAAATATTAGATATTATTTGAATAAATTTAAATAAATTGAATAAATAAATAAATTATGATTAAAAAATTTTTTTTATAGAAAAATTCTATATAGAATATAAAAAATAAAAATATATAGAAATTCTACAGAGGACATAAATTTATAATTATAATTAATTGTAAAAATAAATAAATTGAAACTATAGAATAAATCAAATAAATAATAGATAATAATAATTATGGAAAATTAAAATATTTAATAATTAATTATTATGAACCAAAAAAGTTTTATCTAGAACAGCGATAAGTTTCTTTGGAACAACTAAAGTCTTTACTGAATCGATAAAAAATTTAGTTAATATAGCAAAATTTGTAGCAGTGCCACTTGAAGTTTTTTTCTATGAGAAATAAATTTGTTATCATAAACAATAAATTAAATTCATATAAATTATTAATAAAATATTAAATTTATTGTTATAAATTATTAATAAAATATAAATTTTATAATTATAAATTCCTAATAAAATTTAAATTTTATAATTATAAATTCGTAATAAAATATAAATTTTATAATTATAAATTCTTAATAAAATTTAAATTTCATAATCATAAATTATAATTTTTCTATGTAGAGAAAAATGACAAAAATAATAAAATGAATTAAAAATTATCTTTTCAAACTCCAGTGAAAAAATTTTTAAAGTAAAAAAAATTTTAAACGTATTAGAACGCCATCTAACGAATTCTGAAGAGAAAAAATTATTCAAAATCCTTTTCAATAAGAAAAGCATCTGCCTTATCATCGAACAATAATAAATTTGAACTCGGTATAAGATTGAATTAAATTTCAAATCCAAATTATACCGAAAAAAATATAGAAAAGTATAAAAAAGTATAAACAATAAAACAGTAAAATTGTAAATGTAAAAATTTTAACGATTTTTAATTTTAATTAAATAAATAAATTTGTAAAGAAAATTCTAAATAATTTTATGAATAAGACTTGTTATCATCAGAGAAAAGAGAAAGAAGTTTTCTGTTGGATAAAACCTTTTATCGTGGGAGTAAAGAAAAAGAAGTTTTCGTTTACCATGAGAAGATAATATTTGAGAGACGAGAAACTTGGATCGTACTTCGCTAGAGAGTAGCACTGGACTTTCTAAAAATTCGAACAAGAACTCGTGGATATAATATAGAGGAAAAATTGAAACGTGCTTTATTGTATATACTATGGACACTTTATAAATGATGCAATTCGAAATGGAGAAAAACGGGCATCATAGATCCTTTTAATTGCACTCGAAGATGATTCTAAAGTTGTAAATTTATAATGTAACACTTAAACATCATCACCATAAAGCAGAAATAATTTAATATCATTTTACGAGCATAACGCCATAAAAATTACGTAATATTTAATAAATTTCTAGTATTCTTTTTGTTTTTTCCCTTGAACACTAATATTTTGTATCAAACATATTTAATTTATTTCAATTTTTATTTTGTGCCCACAGAAAAAAGATATTTTGATTCAGAGTTAACTAAACTTTTTAATTGTTTCAAAATAAAATTTATTTGGTTCAAACGAATTTTTTTGGGTTCAAATAAAATTTTTTCGGTTCATATAAAAATGTATTTGGTTCAAATAAATTTTATTTGGTTCAAATACATTTTATTTAGTTCAAATACATTTTACTAAAATTTTTAATTGCTTCAAAATAAAATTTATTTGGTTCAAACGAATTTTTTTGGTTCAAATAAAATTTATTTGGTTCAATTTTTACTAAAATTTTTTAATTGTTTCAAAATAAAATTTATTTGGTTCAAATTAATTTTTTTGGTTCAAATAAAATTTTTTTGGTTCATATACAATTTATTTTGTTTAAATACATTTTATTTCATTTAAATACATTTTACTAGAATTTTTAATTGTTTCAAAATAAAATTTATTTGGTTCAAAGTTCAAACGAATTTTTCTGGTTTAAATAACATTTATTTGGTTCAAATACATTTTATTTGGTTCAAATATATTTTATTTGGCTCAAATAAAAATTTTAGTTGCTCTAAATAAAATTTGTATTATTTAAAACAAATAAATAACTTAGTTGGCTCTGAGACAAATATATTTTTATTTAACTAAAATAAATTATATTTGACTTAAAATAAAATTTTTTTCTGGGCGTGGGAAAGACTTAAGACATTAATAATTTTATTCAAGTGCTAAAAATTAAATTTTAAATAATGAATTTAATTTGAAGAATAAAATTAAATTTTAAATAATGAATGTAATTTGATGTATAAAATTTAATTTTTAATAATTTTAATTCGAAGTATAAAATTAATAGATAAAAAATATAAATAGATAATAAATAGAATTTTTAATCTTCACTTAACAATTCTATAATTGAATTGAAAATAATTCAAAACTTACGAGGACTTTACTTTATTTGCTGACGATTCTCAAAATATAATATTAGAGTGGGAATTAATTTCGTCTATTAGTCTAGCATGTTTGTTTACTTCAAACTGTCACCGTAGAATGTGCGATTTATTTTGCTACTTAATAATTGATCAATAAAATTGTTCAAAAAATATTATATTAATTCGAAATTAAAATATTCTGAGAAGTAAAATTTTGCAAATAAAAATCGTCAAAGATCATATTCTGAATTTTTTTTTAAATGCCAAGGATTACCAATATTTTTTTAATCAAGTAAGTTTATCAGCAATTTTATCGATTTTTGCTAATGAAAAAGAAGTTTCACAGAAAAATATTTAATTAAACAAATTTTGTTTAATTGAACGTAATTAGGACAAAATTGAGAAAAAATTCTCTTGATCTTTTTCATTAAATATTTTTAATAAAAAAAACCCTTCGAAAATATAATTAATTTATGATTCACAAGTTTTGAACGTTCAAATGAAAGAATTTTTTTTATTTTAAATATTTTCATGAATTACTTTTTGCAGTAAAAATTAAAATCTAAAATTTTACATAATTAGAAAATTTATAATTATTAATTTTTTTTACAATAACGTAAAATTATGCAAATGAAATTTTAATTTAGAAAATAAATAAATATTGTTCTGGAAAAAAGGGAATTTTTTTATTTACCAAAAATTTGTATAATTATCAATTATTAATAATATAATAATATTAATTAATATTAATATTAATTAATAATAATTAATAATATTATCAATTATTAATAATAATCAATTATCAATCAATTATCTTATCAACTATCACTTTATTGTTTATTCTTATCAATTAATCTATTATAGGTTAATTTTCAAACGCACTAACATTTGTTCTGGAAGAAAGAGAATTTTTTTCATTTCCATAAAATTTTGAACGTTCAAAATGAACGAAATTAGTTTATTTCAATAATTTGAAAAAAAATTTCTTAATATAAATCCAACAGTAAAAATTGTAAATATAATTTTAAAAAATACTTAAAAATTAATAGTGACAAAAAATTATAATTTTATTTTTATTATAAATAAAATAATAACTAATGGAATATTTTCATGTCAACTTCAAGTTTTTTTTTATTTTATTTTTAATTTCTTAAACTAAGATTAAATATTTTAATGAATAATAATTAATATTTTCACATTAATTTATTTAAATAGTTAATTTAAAAAAATTACAAAAATTTTTTTTTTAATTTTAAAATTTTTAATTTTATTTTTTTAAATTTTTAATTCTTTTACAGCATAATAATACATTGCGGCAGGACAAGAAGTAAATAATAAAAAAATTATGTCTACCGTGATAAATATTACCGATTTCGCAAAAGATATCCTCGGTAATTCTTCACAAATTCAAAATTATGAAGATGCTCACTTGATAGCAATAACAATTAACCTGAAAGATTTAAGGGAAAAGAGGATAGATGGTGGCGACATATATTTGAAAGAAAATCCTCAGATTCATTGCCAGTTTACTTTTCAAATATTTGGTGGTTTGCTGCATAGATATATAAAATTTACATCCCGAGCATCATTAAACAGACAATATCTTGTAACCATGTATCATTTAAACTATAGAAAAGAAATTGAACTTACCGAAACAATAAAAGTACTAAATAGTAGACTTTATACAACAAACTATTTTACTTACAATTATGATGTATTACACAATGAAGAAAAACACCTAATCAACAATAATTTATGCATGTTTTGTAAAATAAAAGAGATAAAAGCATCACCAATTGAAATTGAAATTATCAAAAATGAAATGCCTGCAAAATTTCTCTCTCTATATGAAGAAAAAAAATTAACTGATTTCAAAATAATTTGCGATGATAAGGAATTTTGCGTGCACAAAATAATTCTCGTGTGCCAATCTGATGTGTTTCGGGCAATGCTCGAAAATCCGATGAAAGAATTCAAAAATGATGAACTAATAATTAGTGATTTTTATCCAAAAATTGTTGAAGTAATGATTCGATATCTTTATTCTGATACACTGACAGAAACACTGTCCGAAGAGGAATTAAAAGAATTATTGTTGATTGCAAACAAGTACAATTTGGAGAATTTGAAAAAAATTTCCTTCAAGGAGATTTGTAAAGTGATAAACACCTTCAAACAAGCTGTAGATTTACTCTCATTTACTGAATGCTACAATTTTACCGACATGAGAGATTTAATAATTAAATTCATGAGAGATAATAAAAATATTTTACTGTAAAAACTTCTGCTTTCAATCTTATTCGATTTTATTTTTCTAACAAAAATTTTTAAAAAAATGTTTTATATTACTCTTGAAGAGTTTTGTGTTTTAAATTCTAATTTATTGTTCAGAAGAATATTCTTCTTTTGGTTGAACCGAAAAATTGTTTTGTAAAAATTGTTATTTACGATTTAATAAAAGTACGATGTTTATTTGTAGAATTTCTAATGTTGTTTTATTTTCGCTTAGTTTATTAATAATTGTCAGATCTTTAAATTTACTTTAATAAATTTAATTAAATATTTACTAATTATTTCAAAAATTTTATGGCTATAAATTAAAATCAAAAATATTTTTTATTCTCATACGCTTTTAAAGTCAGTGTAGTTCACAAAAAATGTTATAATAATCAACGATTACAAGAAAAAAATTATCTTTCTTGTGAAAAACAATAAAATATTTTATTTAGGAATTTGTCTTTTGCAAATTATTAATATTTAAAAAAAAGAAAAATAGTGAAAATTTTTGTTCAGGAGTAATTTCAAGAAAAAAAATAATAAAATTATTTGTTTAATAATATTACAAAAAAATAATAATAAACATTTTTATTTAAAAGTATTTTCAAGAAGAAGAAAAAAATTCTTTGTTTCGAAGTATTTTCAAAAAGGAAAATAATATAATTTTTTGTTTAAAAATAATTTAAAAACGAGAATAAATAAAATTCTTTGTTTAAAAATATTTTCAAGAAGTAAAATAACAAAAATTTTTGTTTAAAAATATTTAAAAAAAGAAAAATAATAAACATTTTTGTTCAGAAGTATTTTCAAGATGAAAAACAATAAAACTTTATTTCGAAGTATTTATAAGAAGAAAAATAATAAAATTTTTTTGTTTAAAAATTTTTTTTAAGAAGTATTTTCAAGAAGAAAAATAATAAAACTTTTTGTTTAAAAATATTTTCAAAAAGTAAAATAACAAAAATTTTTGTTTAGAAGTATTTTCAACAAGAGAAATAATAAAAATTTTTGTTTAAAAATATTTTGAAGAAGAAAAAAAAAATAAAATTCTTTGTTTAAAAATATTTTAAAAAAGAAAAATAATAAAATTTTTTGTTTAAAAATATTTTAAAAGAGAAAAATGATAAACATTTTTATTCAGAAATATTTTCAAGAAGAAAAATAATAAAACTTTTTGTTGAAAAATATTTTAAAAAAGAAAAATAAAAAAAATTTTTGTTTAAAAGTATTTTCAAGAAGAAAAAAAATAAAACCTTTTTGTTCAAAAATATTTTTAAGGAGAAAAATAATAAAATTTTTTGTTTAGAAATAGTAAATGAAGAAATTGTGTAAAAATGTTTTTTAAAAAGAAAAAAAATTTACCAATAAAAATTCGTTCGATATTAAAAACAAAAGACAATCGTCGAAAACGTAACCTTTAAACGACAGAATTGGAAATTGTCAAAATTCCAATATTTGCGGAAGAGTTAATTAAAAAATAAGGAAGAATTGAGATTGTCCTGGAATTTATTCACTAGATAAAAATTTGCTATTTTTAATTATGTAAGTTTTTAATTCATAATTATTATTATTATTAATATTAATTATTTTTAATTATAACAAAATGGTGATGGAAAGAAATATATTTTTAGGTTAATTTGTTTGTTCTTTACAAAATATAAAATTTTTATTAAAAAAAGAGAATATTTTTCAAAATTGAAAGGAATTTTGAAATCTTTTGAAAGATTTTTGAATCAGTTTTTTCTTCTTTCGAAATTATTTTTGAGATAATTAAAAATATCTTTTATTAATAATAATTTTCATGATAATTTTCTGTATATAAAAAATTATAAATTAGAAGCTTTTGAGAAGCAATTTTTCGAAAATTGCATAATGAATTTTATACAGTTATTTTTTCGAGATTATTTTTAGATAATTTAAGATAAATTTAGATTAAAAATTTCCTTTTATATTAGAGATTTTTGAGAAAATTTTTTGACAGTTGCAAAAAGTATTTTTTAATAATTTTTTAAATTAATTTACTTACTATTTTTTAGTAATTTAGAATAATTTTATTAACTTTCGATAATTTTCTGTATAAATTATAGATTTTTAAAAGAAAATTTTTTGACAGTTGTATAAAGTATTTTTTTTTCTTTACAGAAAAAATCAACGACCAGCAACAAATTTTTACACTTTCTTCAAAAAAAAAAAAAAAAAAAAAAAAAAAAAAAAAAAAAAAAAAAAAAATGGCAGTGGACATAAATTTTTCCAGTGTAATAGGAGAAATTTTCAGCGACACCACGCAAACTCTTAATGGAGAAAAATATGGATATGGAGAAAACATTAATTGGATAGGAATAATAATTCCCAAAAGAACAGCTCAGTCCGCATCATGCTGCAGGGTAATGCTTCAAGAAAATCCGAAAATTTCATGCGATTTAGAATTTCATGCAATTGACGGCATGAGGTTATGTAGTTGCGTACAATTTTCACACATCGTCACAAATAAACACTATCAAATAACACTTTATTATTTAAACTCGAAAAATAAAGTCGAAAAAGAAGATTCGATTAATTTAACTAACATAACAAAATCTACAATGTACAATTTCAAGAAACAATTCTACTTACGTGAAATTATGTACAAATCCGAAAATATTTGCATATTATGCAAAATAATTGAGATTAAGATAACGCCTGTAAAAATGGATATTTCAAAAAATCTAATGTCCACAAAATGCCTCTCTCTATACGAAGAAAAGAAATTATCCGATTTCAAAATAATTTGCGACGATCAAGAGATTTACGTGCATAAAATAATTCTCGTGTGTCAATCGGATGTGTTTCAGGCAATGTTTGAAAATCCAATGAAAGAATCTCGAGACGATGTACTTGTTATTAATGATTTTGAACTAAAAATTGTAGAATTAATGATTCGTTATCTATATACCGACGAAATGACCGAAAAATTGTCTGAAGAAGAATTGAAACAATTATTTTTAATTGCAAACAAGTACAATTTGGAAAAATTAAAAAAAATTTGCTTGACCGAATTGTGTAGTCTGATAACGGATTATAAAAAAGCTTTAAATATTCTCGCGTTTTTTGAGTCTTACAATTTTGGCGATATCAACGATTTAATGATTCAATTTATTAAAGATAATAAAGAAATTTTGATGTAAAAAATTGTAACATTGTTTCTGAGCAATACATCAATTAGAAATTAATGTAGTTTTATGTGAGTACTAAAATTCTTTGTACACTAAAAATTTGTTCTAAAATGTTTCTTCTTTTAGTTTAAACCAAAAAATTACGTTGTAAAAATGTTTGTTACCTTTTAATAAAAACTGTGTGGTGTTTAATTGAAATCTTCACATTTTTTTATTTATTAGAAATAATTAGGATTCAATAATAATAATAAAAAATGAGAATTATAAGTAAAAATAAAAAGGCTTAAATAATAATAAATAACAATTATTTAAAATAATTATAAACTATAAAGTATGAAAAAAAATATAAAAATATAATATCATGAATAACTCTAAAAAATTAAAAGATTGTAAAATATGAAAAATAAAAGATTCTTGTAGTTAGCGTCAAAAGACTAATATAAATTATAAAATCAAAATTCTGCCGCGTCAAAGTTTTTCGATTTCAGCCCCCTCTGAACTGTTAGAATTGAGAATAGAAATAGAATAACTAGTCAATTATTATTACGATTACGAAGCGTTAGCTCAATTCGAAGTTCATCGCCTCTATGTTTATGAGGATTAAAATCATTCTGAGAATCAGGAATAACAAAAATTAACGAAAAATTGAGAGTTTCCTGGATTTTTTCTTAAAGTTACGAAGAATTTCCTGTAATTTATTTACGTAAGTCTTCAATTTATAATAATTTTAATAATTTTCATAATTTTCATAATTATTTTAATGAAAGAATATTAGTTGATTTTGCCTATTCTTTGCAAAAATATACACTGAGAAAACGATTTATTTGATTCAAACATATTTTGTTTAAATCAAACTTAAAATATCATTTCTATACAGTCAAACATAATTAAGTTCAATTTAAACATATTTTTGGTTCATTTAAAGAAATAATATATTTAATTCAAACATAAGTTATAGTTGATTATAAATTATTTATAATTAACTTTTAAGTTTGAATCAAACATAATTTTTTTTTTTAATCAAAACAGAAAATATGTTTGAATTAAATATAAATATTCAGAAAAATAATATTTTTTAATCAAAGCAGTAGAAATTTTCTATATATTGGGATTAAGCTTACAAACTAATTTCAATTAAACAAAATCACTTAAAATTATTTTTCTATTTAAATTAAGTATAATGTTTTCTCAGTGTATATAGTGTGTTTACAAAGAAAAATGTTTGTTTATCAATTTAAGTGATGACTAATTAAAGAGTCATTTAAGGCAGAAATTATTTTCTGATATTGAAAATTATCTTCAATTTCTAAATTGCATCAGTGGTTCTATCTGTTAGTTCTAAAATTTTAGTAAAAAATGACAAAATTTAGTGAAAATAATTATACTATAATGTAAAATTGTTAGTGAAGTTCACAAACAACAATCAAAAAATATGTTATATAAAAAAAAAAATTTTTATTCTTCTTTCGAAAGAAAATATTTTTTCTTCCGTGTAAATAATTTTACTATAATATATATTATAATTAAAATAACTTAATGTACATATACAAATTACAGTTTTTTGTGTTAAATTTTTTTTTCAAATGAGATTTTCTTCTTTTTAAGATTATTTTTCTACATTATTTTTCTAGAAGATAATTTTCTAGTACATAATTTTTTTATGTATGCAAAATTTGTTTACACTTAAGTAAAGTGAAAGTTTAGTTTTTTTGGTAAATAACATAATTTTTTACAGAAATTATTATCGGCTTGCAGTAAATCTTAGTACTTTAAAAATATGACAGTTGGCATAAATTTATCCCAAGCCATAAGACTAATCGGCGAATCTGTGGATATTCTTAAAGGAGAAAATATTAAATACTTAGGAATAATAATTCCGATTAAAAAAGTAAAGTCAAATTCGAATTCTATCGCAATAATAGATATTAAAAGTAATCCAAAAATTTCTTTTTCTTTAATATTCGAAGACATTGCTGGTAATAAATTTAGTATTAGCATTAAATTTTCAGTGACATTACAGAATAAACACTATAAAATAACACTTCATCAAGTAAACGCTCAAATTACTGACACAATTAACATAACCGATGTAACAGAAGGTAATATTCATAAATTTGAGAAACAATTTTCTTTACCTGATGTCTCTAAAGATCCAAATATTTACATAGTGTGTAAAATAAAGGAAATAGAAGAAATGCCTGTAAAAATTGACAATCCAAAAAATCAAATGTCCGCGAAATGCCTCTGTTTATACGAAGAAAAAAAATTATCCGATTTCAAAATAATTTGCCAAGATCAAGAATTTTGCGTTCATAAAACAATTCTCGTGTGTCAATCCGATGTGTTTCAAGCAATGTTTGAAAATCCAATGAAAGAATCTCGAGAAGATGCTCTTATAATAAGTGATTTTGAACCAAAAATTGTAGAAACAATGATTCGTTATCTATATTCTGATGAAATGACAGAATCACTATCTGCAGACGAATTCAAGCAGTTATTATTAATTGCAAACAAATATAATTTGGAAAAACTGGAAAAAATTTGTTTCAACGAGCTTTTGAAAGCAATAAAAACCTTTGAGCAAGCTTCGGATTTAATTATTTTTACTGAATCTCACAATTTTGTTGATATGAAAAAATTGGTAATTCAATTTATGAGAGAAAATAAAAATATGATGATGTAAAAAATTCTTACTTTAATATAAGCGTTAACAGGGTTGTATGTTAAAACTTGAAAAGTTTTCTGTTGTAATTTATTGTTCAGAATTATGTTTCTTTCGGCTGTACCGAAAAATTGTCCTGTAAAAATTTTTATTGTATGATTCAATAAAGGAAAGCTAGTTATTTATAAAATTCCTGCAGTTATATTATTCTCAACTTCTATATTCATGATTATAAATTCTTTAGTACTTTCAGAAATTAATAAATGTAACTTTTAACTCTTGTCCCGCAATAAATAAAATACAACGGTTATTTCTTATTCATACGTTATTATTCTTTTTTAATTATTTTTAGTTGCCTTGGAATTTATTTAATCGCTAAGAAATTGCTGGTACTTTTATTTATGTAAGCTTTGAATTAACAATAATGTTATTGAGTATTTTTATTGAAAAAAAAGATTTTTTGAAAATATTTAATTAATACAATTATTAATTATTCTTAATAAATATTCTATAGCAATTAATTGAATTAATTAACTTTACTTTCACACATATTTTTATACCGAAATTATTTGTCGAAATTAATCGATTGATCAATGGATGGAGTTTAATAAAATCAAAATTCTGCCGCTTTAAAATTTTTTGATTTCAGAACCCTCTGAACTGTTAGAATTGGAAATAGAAATCGACGAACTAGTCTATTATTGTTTCGAAGCATTAGCTCAATTCGAAATTTATCGTAGCTACGTGTATAATGATTAAAATCATTGCGAGAATCAGAAACAACAAACATTAACAAAAAATTGATACTTTTCTGGATTGTTTCATTAACTTGCGAAGAATTTGGTGTAATTTTCATTTACGTAAGTCTTCAATTTATAATTTTAATAATTTTTTTTATGAAAGAATATTTTAGTTGATTTTGCGTATTCTTTTCAAAAATATATAGTGTGTTTACAAAGAAAAAGGTTTGTTTATTAATTTAATAGCGATGACTAATTAAAGAGTCATTTAAGGCAGAAATTATTTTCTGATAATGAAAATTATCTTTAATTTCTAAATTGCATCAGTGGTTCTAATTGTTACTTCTAAAATTTTAGTAAAAAATGACAAAAATTTAGAGAAAATAATTATACTAATTTAAATCAGTATCATACTATTCATAAATTATATTTAGAGAGTATAAATACAAATTTTTATTTTGTCACATGTAAATGAATATATTTTGAACAATATGATTTAAAAAAAAACATTTTTTTAGAAAGGAAAGAATTTTTTTAAAGAAATTTTTTAATTTAATTTTTTAAAGAAATTTATTCATATATGCTTATTTTCATTACTTAACATTTTACTAACTAATGATTCACTAACTCTGAGTCCCTCTACAAGTTTTTTACTTTTTTCTAATCAATATAATTTTTTTTAGGATTTATTAACGGTTCACAGTAAAACTTTGCACTTTTATGTCAATATGGCAGCTGGCATAAATGTATCCGATGCACTCAAACTAATCGGTGAATCTCCGGATATTTTAAACAATAAAAATATTAATTACGTAGCATTAATAATTCCTACAGAAAAATTAAGAAATTCAGAACGTTGTTTAGAAATATTATGTAAAAGTAATCCTAGAATTATTTTTTATCTGATAGAGGACGGTGATGAGTATATTCCTTGCACTGAATTTTCACAGACATTGCCGAATAAACACTATCAATTGACATTTTATCAGTTAAGCGTGGAAAATGAAATTAAAATGAATGATACAATTTACGTAACCGATGTAACAGAAGATGATGGTGTTCGTGCATTTTCGATTCGGATTGATTGGTTTGATGTGGTTGATGATCCGTACATTTACATATTGTTGAAAATACAGGAAGTAAAATCATCTGCGGAAATAGATATTCAAAAAAATGAAATGTCAGCGAAATTTCTCTCTCTATATGAGGAAAAAAAATTAACTGATTTCAAAATAATCTGCAAAGATCAACAATTTTGCGTACATAAAATAATTCTCATGTATCAGTCCGATGTTTTTCAAGCAATGTTAGAAAATTTAATGAAAAAATCTCGAGAAAATGTACTTGTAATAAGTGATTTTGAACCAAAAATTGTAGAAGCAATGATTCGTTATCTATATTCCGATGAAATGACCGAAAAACTATCTGAAAACGAATTTGAAGAATTATTGTTAATTGCAAATAAGTATAATTTGGAGAAATTGCAAAAAATTTGCTTCAACGAGCTTTTGAAAGTAATAAAAACTTTTAAGCAAGCTGCTGATTTAATTATTTTTACTGCACTTCAAAATTTTATTGATATGAAAGACTTGGTAATTGAATATATGAAAGAAAATAAAAATACTTTGATGTAAAAAAATTCTTCGTTCAATGTAAGCGATAACACAATTTTACGTTAAAACCTAAAAAGTTTTCTGTTTTATTTATTGTTTAAAATTATTATCCTATCGGTTGAACCGAAAAATTATCATGTAAAAATCTTGATTGTATGATTTAATAAAATTACATTGTATATTTACAAAATCTCCGCAGTAAAATTATTTTAACTACTATATTTATGAATATTTTTTATTGAAGTGTTTTGTGTTTTTTTAATAAATATAGCATGATGAGGTCGGCATACCCTGTCCGACGAAACGTTGTGTTATGACGATAAATTTTTGAATTTTTTATTCTACTCACCTTCCCGAGATCATTTATACTAAGCACATACTATACTTATGATTATCAATTCTTTAGTACTTTCAAAAATTAATGAATGTGACATTTAACTATTGTCTCCCAATAAATAAAATTCAACGGTTATTTTTCACTCATACGTTATTATTTTCTTAAAAATTATTTTTAGTTACTCTGGAATTTATGCATTCGCTAAGAAATCCCTGGTACTTTTATATACCTAATAAGTTTTCAATTAATAGTAATGTTATGGTGAAAAAAAGGTTTTTAATGCAAAAAAAGTTTATTGAAAATATTTAATTATATTACTATTATTACTTATTGTTATTACAAATTCAATAGCAATTAATGAAATTAATTTTTTTTTCACACATATTTTTATACCCAAATTATTTGTCGGAATTAATCGATTGATCAATGAATGGAATTTTATAAAATCAAAATTCTGCCGCCTTAAAATTCTTCGATTTCAGCACCCTCTGAACTGTTAGAATTGGGAATAGAAATCGATGAACTAATCAATTATCCTTAGGAAGCGTTAGCTCAATTCGAATTTTAACGCAGCTACGTGTATGACGATTAAAATTATTGTAAAAATCTGGAATACTAAAGAATAACAAAAAATCGAGATGTTCCTGAATTTTTTTAATTTTAAATTACGTAAGTCTTCAATTTATAATAATTTCTATAACTTTTTTTAATGCGAAAGAATATTTTAGTTGATTTTGCATATTGTGTTCAAAAATCTATAGTGTGTTTACAAAAGAAAATGTTTGTTGATCAATTTAAATGATGACTAATTAAAGAGTCATTTAAGGAAGAGAATATTTTCTTGTAGTCAAAATTCTCATTAATTTTTAAATTTGCAATAGTAGTTTTAATTGTTTCTTCTAAAATATTACTGAAAAATGCCAAAAATCATTAGTTTATTTATAAAAAAAATTTCTATACATTTCTATACAATTATTTTATTTTTAATTAGTTTATAATTGTTAATTTCTCAAATTTTCTTTAATAAATTAAATAATTCATTATTTCACTATTGTTTGACACATTTTGCGGCTATAAATTAAACTCAATGATATTTTTCACTCTCATATATACACAGTAAAAAGTGAGGTGTTAAAATAACACCAGAAAGGATTAAAATAATCTATTTTGGTGTTATTTTTAACTATGAATGAAATTTTACTTTAAATAAAACACCAAAGTCAACGATTTGGAAAAATTCAACGAATTTAGCTTCTCCAGGGAGAATAGTAAGTTAATAAGTTAGTTACTAACTTAGTTACTAACTTACTAACTAACTTAGTAACATAGTTACTAAATTCAATTGTGTTCAAAAATTTAAAAAAATTCTCGTCAAAATTTCAATTCTCTTTATAAATAATAAAATTATTCTCTGATATTCAATTATTTTACAAAATTTTAATCAAATTCTTGTCAAAATTTCAATTATTTTCAAAAGTTTTCTAAAACTCAATGATTTTCAATATCTACTATTTCAATAAAATTTTCCAAAAGAATTCCATTATGAATAAACGAATGAATGAATTTGAACATTCTCAAAGAACTTTTTTAAAAATTATTCAAAATAATGGATTTATTGAAGAATTTTAGTTAAAAACACTAGAAAAAAATTTAATTTTAGAAAAATTACAAATTATTGCAGAAATTCAATTATTTTTAAGAGTAATAAAATTCTTCTTAAGGATTAAATTATTTATACTAATAATAAAACTTATCGTAGCGTTTCAATTATTTTTCATACAATTATAATTGAATTCCTTGAAAAAAGTAATTGTGTTCATGCAAGTTTTAATAATATTCGACAAAAGAATTCAATTATTTAAAAATTTGTTACTAAAATTCTTTATGAGAATTGAATTTTGAGAAACATTCAATTATTCAAAAAAAAATTTACTTTTGCACTTAAATAATTAAATTCTTGTAAAATTTTGTAATAAAAATTGATTTTCATTTCATAAAAATGAACTTCAGTTAAAATTTTAGATTATAATTGAATATTAAAAGAAATATAGAGTGAATTTTTAGAAATAATTGAATTTTGAAAAAGTTTAATTGAATTTTTTTTATATTATTTGAAGTTATTATTTTCTAATATGCATTTAATTGAAGAATTTAAAATAATTGAAATTTCGTGAAATTGAATATTGTAAACAAATGGATTTGAAAATTGACACTGAACGTTTTCGAAAATTATAAATATGAAGAAATCGATCACTTCGAGTCGAAGACTCGGAGTTATCGATATCTTCATGTTTTATAGTTTAAAACAAATTTAATGAACTAAAATTTCATTCATTGTAAAAAATAACACCAAAATTAATTATTTTAACCATTTTTGGTGTTAATTTAATCTGCAACACTTTTTAATACCTCACGATTTACTGTGATGTTATCGTCAATGAAGCTCACAAGCAACAATAAAAAAAAATTTTATAAAAAATATGGAATTTTTTTCATTTATCGAAACAAAATATTAACCAATAAGTTTTTCTTTCTTTATAAATTATTTTATTATATATATTATATTGAAGATAAATTACATTTTACTATATTAGAATTTTTGAGATTTTCTTTTTTTTAAAATTATTTTTCTACAAGATAACTTTGTAGTACATAATTTTTTTAAATTTTATGATGGTAATTATTTTTCTTCTGACAATTGCATAAAGTAGAAGTTTAGTTTTTTTGGTAAATAATATATTTTTTTACAGAAATTATTAACAGCTTGCAGTAAATCATTGCACTTCTTTTGAAAATATGGGAGATGGCATGAATCTTTCCAATGCATTCGGACAAATCGTCGAATCTTTGGATGTTTTTAAAAATAAAAATATTAATTACGTAGCATTAATAATTCCTTTAGAAAAAATAAGAAAATCAATGCCAAATCGTTTCGAACTATGTCAAGGAAATCCAGGAATTGATTTTCATTTAATAAGGGATGAAATACATGATAATAAGTTTAGCTGTAGCATTGAATTTTTACAGACACTACCAAATAAACACTATGAAATTACACTTTATCAGTTAAACGCCGAAGGTGAAATTATAATTAATGATACAATCAACTTAGCCAACATAACACAAAGTACTAATTATAAATTTAACAAACAATTTTCTTGGGTCAGTGAATGGTGTGTTAATTCACATATTTACATGCTGTGCAAAATACAGGAAGTAAAATCATCTGCGAAAATAGATATTCCAAAAAATGAAATGTCTGCGAAAATTCTCTCTTTATATGAAGAAAAGGAATTAACTGATTTTAAAATAATCTGCAAAGATAAAGAATTTTGCGTTCATAAAATGATTCTTGTGTGTCAATCCGATGTTTTTCGAGCGATGTTTGAAAATCCAATGAAAGAATCTCGCGAAGATGCTCTCATAATAAGTGATTTTGAACCGAAAATTGTGGAAGCTATGATTCGTTATCTATATACAGATGAAATGACAGAATCACTTTCTGAAGACGAATTCAAGCAATTATTATTAATTGCAAACAAGTATAATTTGGAAAAATTGGAAAGTATTTGCTTCAACGAGATTTTGAAAGAAATAGTAACTTTTAAGCAAGCTGCTGATTTAATTCTTTTTACTGGATCTCACAATTTTATCGATTTGACAAATTTTGTAGTTGAATTTATGAAAGAAAATAAAAATGTTTTGTCGTAAAGAATTCTTCGTTAAATACAAGCGCTAACACGTTTTTACGTTAAAACCTAAAAAATTTTTTGTTCTATTTATTGTTGAAAATTATTCTTCTTTCGGTTGAACCGAAAAATTGTCATGTAAATTTCTTTATTGTATGATTTAATAAAATTACGTTGTATATTAACAAAATCTCCACATTAAAATTATTTTTAACTACATACTATATTTATGATTATCAATTTTTTAGTACTTTCAAAAATTAATGAATGTGATATTTAACTATTGTCTCCCAATAAATAAAATGCAACGATTATTTTTCACGCATACGTAATTATTTTCAGTTGTCCTGAAATTTATGTAATCTCTAAGAAATTGCTGGGACTTTTATAATGTAAGTTTTTATTTAATAGTAATTTTTTTTACTTTCATAGATATTTTTATACTCAAAATATTAGTCGAGAAATATAAATTGCAAAATTAAAAAACAGCCGCGCAAAAATTGTTCGACTTCAGTACCCTCTGGACAACAGGATTGAGAATTAAAATCTTCGAAAGAGTGAATTCAAATGAAGTGTTAGAGAACTGTTCAATTCGCAGTTTGTCGCCGTCACGATAGTGACAAATTAAAATAAAATCATTGTGTGACTTTGAAATAAAATCAGGAAAAAATTGAGAATATTCTTCGATTATTTATCCACTAAGAATTTACTGGCATTTTTATTTACGTAAGTACTCAATTTTTATTAATTTATCTGTTATTTCTATTTTTCCCTCTATCTCAAAAAATCTCCGAAAACAATATTTTTTAATAGAAGTTTACTGTTAATAAAAAAATAATATTTAGGTGCTTTTTCATATATGCTTGTCAAAAATAAAAAAGGTTTGAAAGGAAAATATCTTTTTTTCATTTCAAGAGAAGTTTTATATGCAGAAAGTTTTTACTCTTAAAAAAGTTCTATTTTGTTTCTTTTTTATATTTATCAATAAATTAATAAATTACTATATTTCGGTTACTTTGACACATTTACTGGGATAAATTAAATAAATTAAAAATATGTCAACAATATTCTATTTTTGAATTTCTTTAAAGTTTTGAATGTTTAAAAGAACAAAAACGATTTCCGTGAAAATATTTATTTAAAAATTTACTAAATGAAATGGAAAATAATGTAAATATCAACAATTTTACCTAATTAAGAAATTACTTTTGCAATATTAAAAATAATGTTTTTAATATAATACAAATTAAATTTATCTAAATAAAAATATCATCGTTCATGTGAAAATTCAAAACTTTAGGAACATATTTTTGAGTATATATTGAAAAACATAATTAAAATTTAAAAACGACTAACTAGTTTAGTTAAAAAAAATTATAATTATACTTTTTACAAGTTTATTTTTTGAATTTATTTTTCGAAAAAATGGAAAAACATTTTAGTAATTCTGTACTCTCAAAATCCAGATTAATATAAGTTTTATTAATTAATATAAGTTTTAATTAATTAATTTTGTTAATTTTAATTTATTTTTATATTTTCAGTAAATATTTCACTTTTATTTTAATTATATGTATAAGTAAATATTATAATTTTGTTAACTAATTGCAATTTATTTTTTTCACTGAATTTTTATTGCAAAATGATTAAAAATTAGTTTTAAAAAATTACTTACGTGAATTAGTGAATAAGTAGTTTTTAAATAATTTGATTTAAACATTTTTTTCTTTTCTCATAAGGTGAATATTTCCTTCCATATCTAAAACTTTTAGGATCAAATTCTCTCGGTAGACATGCCATAAGATCGTGTTACACATTATCTTGAATATTACTTCGATTTTTTTCTTTTGAGTTAAACTGAAAAATTACTTTGCAAAAATTTATATTAATGTAAATATTTAAAATGTAAAATTAAATGAAATAATAATATAAAACAAAACTTTACTTGACAGTGGTACAAAGTGAATGTTCAGCAGAAGGACTTTGAGTTACTGAATCATTAGTTTATTTATAAAAAAAATTTTTTTTGCTATTTTATTTTTAATTAGTTGGCCAAGCCTATAAAGTCATTTAAAAAGAGGAATTCAATATTTGACTATTGTTTGACACATTTTGCGGATAAAAATTAATCTTAATAATATTTTTTTATTCTTGTATACATTATTATCGTTGGTGAAGTTCACAAACAATAAAAAAAAATGTTTTAAAAAAATAAAGAATTTTTTTAACTTTCCAAAAAAAAATTTTAACCAATAGATTTTTCTACCTTTTAATCTATATTACATTTAAGATGATATAAATTATAGTTTTTTTTGTGTTAAATTTAGTTTAAAATGAGATTTTCTTTTTTTTAAGATTATTTTTCTACAAGATAACATTCTAGTAAATAATTTGCACTTGCATAAAGTGGAAGTTTAGTTTTTTTGGTAAAATATATCATTTTCTACAGAAATTATTATCGGCTTGCAGTAAATCTTTGCAGTACTTTAAAAATATGGCAGTTGGCATGTATTTTTCCGATGTACTCAGAGAAATCGGCGAATCAACGGATATTCTTGAAAGAGAATATATTAATTACGTAGGAATAATAACTCCTGCTGAAAAAGTAAAGTCAAAACCATATGCTATCAAAATACAATTTCAAACCAATCCAGAATTCTCCTTCTATTTAATTTTAGAAGAAATTGATGGTAATGAGTTTAGTAGTAGCATTAAATTTTCAGTGACATTACAGAATAAACACTATCATATAACACTTCACCAGATACACACTCTAAGTGGAATTCCAATTACTGACACAATTAACGTAGCCGATGTAACAAAAGGTAGTACTTATAAATTTAAAAAACAGTTTTCTTTACCTGATGTGCCAAAGAATATTCACATATTGTGTAAAGTAGTAGAAATAGAAGAAATGCCTGTAAAAATTGACATTCCAAAAAATCTAATGTCCACAAAATGCCTCTCTCTATACGAGGAAAAGAAATTATCCGATTTCAAAATAATTTGCCAAGGTCAAGAATTTTGCGTTCATAAAACAATTCTCGTGTGTCAATCCGATGTGTTTCAAGCAATGTTTGAAAATCCAATGAAAGAATCTCGAGAAGATGCTCTTACAATAAGTGATTTTGAACCAAATATTGTAGAAACAATGATTCGTTATCTATATTCTGATGAAATGACAGAATCACTATCTGAAGACGAATTCAAGCAATTATTATTAATTGCAAACAAATATAATTTGGAAAAACTGGAAAAAATTTGTTTTAAAGAGACTTTGAAATTAATAAAAACCTTTGAGCAAGCTTTGGATTTAATTATTTTTGCTGAATCTCACAATTTTGTTGATATGAAAAATTTTGTAATTCAATTTATGAGAGAAAATAAAAATACTTTCATGTAAAAAAGTATTCGTTCAATGTAAGCGTTTACAGGGTTGTATGTTAAAACTTAAAAAGTTTTCTGTTGTAATTTATTGTTCAGAATTATTTTTCTTTCGGCTGTACCGAAAAATTGTCCTGTAAAAATTTTTATTGTATGATTCAATAAAGGAACGCTAGTTATTTATAAAATCCCTGCAGTTATATTATTTTTAACTTCTATATTCATGATTATCAATTCTTTAGTACTTTAAAAAATTAATAAATGTAATATTTAACCATTAACCCGCAATAAATAAAATGCAACGGATATTTTTCACTAATGAGTTATTTATTTTTTTATTATTATTTTCAGTTGTTCTGGAATTTATTTAATCGCTAAAAAATTGCTGGTACTTTTATATACGTAAGTTTTTAATTAATAGTAAGAAAATTTTATTGAAAATATTTAATTATTATACTATAATTAATTATTATTATTATTATTATTATTATTATTATTATTATTATTATTATTATTGTTATTATTATTAAATATTCTATATAGCAATTAATTAAATAAATTATTTTCTATTTTCACAAGTATTTTTATTTTTACAATTGAGAATTAAAATTTTTAAAAGGGAGAATTCAAATCCTGTTTTAGAGAAAATCATTGTGGGACTTTTAAATAATGATAGCGAAAAATTGAGAATATTCTTCGATTATTAAGGATTTACTGGCATTTTTATTTACGTAAGTATTCGATTTATATTTCTTATTTTTATTATAATATTAGCGTTCATGTGAAAGTTCAAAACCTTAGGAACATATTTTTGAGTAAAAAAATAATTAAAATTTCAAAACGATTAAATTGTTTAGTTAAAAAAACTGATAATCACACTTTTTTACAAGTTTATTTTTTGAACTCGTTTTTTATAAAAATGGAAAAATTTTTTAGTGATTCTCTGCCCTCAAAATCCAGATTAATAAAAATTGAAGCCACGAATTTATTTAATTTTAATTTCTATATATAATTACGTATATTTATACATCGAAATATAAGTCAGAATTTTCGATCGATAGAGACTAAATCAAAAATCAGCCGCGCAAACAATTAAAGAGCTAAAATTTTATTTCAGCACCCTCTAGAGGATAGAATTGAGAATTAAAAATTGACAAAGGATCAGGAGAATTCATTTGTTAGGGAGCGTCAGCTATGTTCGTAGTTCATTGCTGCCATGTGTATATGTCAGTTAAATTAAAAACATCGTTAAAAAAGTAAAACACTTCTGAAGTTTAACGAAAACTTGAAATTATCCTGGAATTTTTTTCGTTATAAGGATTTGCTGGATTTTTTCCACTTACGTAAGTCTTCAATTTGCAATAACTTTAGTAATTTTTTTTAATCAAAAAAAATTTTATGTTAATTTTATATGTTCTTTTCAAAAATATGAAGTGTTTACAAACAAAAATATTTGTTTATAAATTGAAGCAATGTAATTAATGAGTTATATAGGGTACTAATTATTTTTTTATACTCAAAATTAACATTAAATTATAAACAAACAGTGGAAAAAATATTTTTAATATTGAAATTTTTTATTTTTATGAAAATTATTTAGTAAATTTTGCTAAATTATTTTATAAATTTTATTAATTTAATAAATTTATTAATTTATTAATTACCTATTATAACTATTTATTAACAAATTATAATAATTTATTAACTATGTTTAAATATTTTATGAGAACGATTTATTAAAAAAAAATAATATTTGCAGAATTTATTGACGTCGAGCATTAAGGAACAAGGATTTTTCTTTTTAAATTATGGCGATCGTGTCAGATTTTTCCCCGATAATAAAGGATATTGTTAAAAAGGCTTCGCTTGATTCTGATGATGAATCTGTTCATTGGCTACAAATAACAATTCCCTACAAAAATTTTGAGTCAGGTATTTGTAAAGGTTCCATAAACGAGATATGGTGTTCGTGTTCATTAGAATTTTACAAAATTGATAACAATTTCCGTGCGTTCATAAAATTTTTGCCATGTTTGGCACAAGAAAAATATAAAGTCACTTTTTATAGAGTGTACAATCATTATGTAGTTAATGGAAAAGAGACTCAAATAAACAATAGTATGTTTAATTCTTTCATCTGTTTTGGGGAATTTACAATAACGAATTTGAGAAAACAGGAAGACATATTGTTACTCTGCAAGATTGAAGCGATAAATGTTGCCGATTTAGATGTTGTTATTTCTAAAAATATAACGTCGGCGAAATTCTTCTCTCTTTACCAACAAAGAAAATTCACCGATTTTAAAATAATTTGTGAAGATCAAGAATTTTGGGTACATAAAATAATTCTTATATGTCAATCTGATGTTTTTCGAGTGATGCTTGAAAATCCGATGACGGAGGCTCGAGATAATAAACTAATAATTGGAGATTTCGAACTGAAAATTGTCGAAGAAATGATTCGATATTTGTATACTGACGAAATTACAGGAAAACTATCTCAAGACGAATTAAAACAATTATTATTGATAGCGAATAAATATAATTTGGAAAATTTGAAAAAACTCTCTTTAAAGAAAATATGTAAATTAATAAAAGACTTCAAAGAAGCATATGAATTACTTTTATGTATTGAATCGTATAATTTCGATGATTTGAGGCAATTAATGATTAAATTCATGAGCGATAATGCACATTTACTGTCAAAAAAATAATATTTCGATCAGAACATTTGTTAATTTAATTAACTTTATGTCCATGTTTGTAAAAAGAACTCTTAAGTTCTGAAAATTATTGTATGGATTTTTTTTGTTCGTTCCTACTTTTATAAGAATGTATACTTCTGCTAATTAATAAATCTACTGCGTTCTTAACTTAGTGGACTGCATTTTTTATATATTTTTATGTGTTAATTTCAGGAAAAATAAAAACAGTATTTTTATTGAAAATATTTAACTACGATGTGAAATATTTTATAGTAATTAATTAAATTAAATACTTTGTTTTTTTAATACTTTTTTTTATACTTGAAATATTAGTAGGAAAATATAAACTGTAAAATTAAAAAACAGCCGCGCAAAAATTGTTCGACTTCAGCACACTCTGGACAACAGAATTGAGAATTAAAATCTTCGAAAGAGTGAATTCAAATCAAGTGTTAGAGAACTGTTCAATTCGTAGTTTGTCGCCGTCACGATAGTGACAAATTAAATTAAATTCATTGTAGGACATGGAAATAAAATTAACGAAAAATTGAGATTATACTTCGATTATTTTTCCACTAAGGATTTACTGGCATTTTTATTTACGTAAGTATTCAATTTATATTAATTTATCTCTTAATTCTATTTTTCTTTCTATCTCCAGAAATCTCTGAAAACAATATTTTTAATAGAAGTTTATTAAAAAAATAATATTTAGATGCTTTTGCATATGCTTTTCAAAAATAAAAAGTGTTTAAAAGGAAAAAGATTTTTTTTTTACTTTCAAGAGAAGAATTTATGTACTGAAATTTTTTACTCTAAAAAAAGTTCTATTTTATTTTTTTTAATAAGTATTTATTATTTAATTAATAAATTTCGATTAGTTTGACGCTTTACTAGGATAAATTAAATAACTTAAAAATAAGTCAACAATATTCTATTTTTGAATTTCCTTAAAATTTGAACGTATTTATATAAGCAAAAAAACCATTTCCGTTAAAGTTTCTTTTAATATCCAAAATAATTTTTTTTTAATAATACAAATTAAATATATCGTCGTTCATAAATTAAAGTTCAAAACTTTAGGAACATATTTTTGAATATATTGCAAAACATAATTAAAAATTTGAAACGATTAACTTGTTTAGTTAAAAAATGTTATAATTATACTTTTTATAAGTTTATTTGTTGAATTCGTTTTTTATTCAAATGGAAAAATAATCGGAATTGATTGATCTATCGTTAGATGGAATTTTATATAATCAAACGTCCGCCGCGATAAAATTTTTCGATATCAGCACCCTCTGAACTGTTAAAATTGAGAATAGAAATCGGAGTACTATGTACTAGTCAATTAATGTTACAAAGCGTTAGCTCAATTCGAAGTTCATCGTAGCTACGTGTATGATGATTAAAATCATTGCGAGAATCAAAAGTAACAAAGATTAACGAAAAATTGTGATATTCCTGGATTTTTTCTTTAACTTACGAAGAATTTGCTCTAATTTTCACTTACGTAATTCTTCAATTTATAATTATTCTAATAATTCTTTTTAATGAAAGAATATTGTAAGTGATTTTTCATGTTCTTTTTAAAAATATATAGTATGTTTACAAAGAACAAATTTTTTTTATCAATTTAATATAAGTGATGACTAATTAAAGAGTTCTTTATGGCAGATATTATTTTCTTGTATTAAAATTTTTTTTAAATTTTTAAATTGCATAAGTAGATTAAATCGTTTCATCTAAAATTTTAGTGAGAAATAAAAAACATTTAGTGAAAATAATTATACTAATGTAAATTAGTGTCATACTTTTCAAAAATTAGATATAGAGAGTATAAATACAAATTTTTATTTCGTCACTTGTAAATCAATATATTTTGAAGAATATGATTTAAAAAACATTGTTTTAAAGAGGTATATTTGAATAAGAAATAAATAAGTTTCGTTTATTTGAACTTTCTTTCTTCTATATTTAATGACAAGGAGCTTTATTTAGATTGCAAAAACTTGTAATTAAATAAATTGATTAATAAATTATGGAACTTATGTTATTTATAATAGTATTTTCCAATTATTTTTATGATTATTCTCATTACTTAATTCATCAGTAATGAATGATTTTTGGAGGCCCTTTACAACTTTTTTGTAATTAATATAATTTTTTTTTAGGAATTATTAACGGTTTGCAGTAAATCTTTGCACTTTTTTTTAAATATGGAATTTCACAAATATTTTTCCAATACACTCAGAATAATCGACAAATCTATGGATATCTTTCAAACAGAAAATAATTACATAGGATTACAAATTCTTAAAAAAAAAGTTAAGTCACAATCATATATTTGCCAAATAATATTTAATTCCAATCCAAAAATTGATTTTTATTTAAGATTGGAAGACATTGATGGTAATGGGATTCGTAGTAGCATTGGATTTTTACAAACAGTACCAAATACACACTATCAAATAACTCTTTATCACACAAACACTAAAGGCGAAATGAGAATGAATGATACAATTAACTTAACCGAAATAACAAAAGGTGTTACTTCTAAATTTAAGAAACAGTTTTGTTTAACTAATGAGGATGATTTATTTATTTGGATAGTGTTAGAAATAAAGGAAGTAAAATCATCTGCGGAAATAGATATTCCAAAAAATGAAATGTCTGCGAAATTTCTCTCTCTCTATATGAGGAAAAAAAATTAACTGACTTCAAAATAATCTGCAAAGATCAAGAATTTTGCGTACATAAAATAATTCTTGTGTGTCAATCCGATGTTTTTCAAGCAATGTTTGAAAATCAAATGATAGAATCTCGAGAGAATGTACTTGTAATAAGTGATTTTGAACCAAATATTGTAGAATTAATGATTCGTTATCTTTATTCTGATGAAATGACAAAATCACTATCTGAAGAAGAATTTAAACAATTATTATTAATTGCAAACAAGTATAATTTGGAGAAATTGGAAAAAATTTGTTTCAACGAGATTTTGAATGTAGTAAAAACCTTTAAGCAAGCTGCTGATTTAATAATTTTTACTAAATTTAACAATTTTGTCGACATGAAAGAGTTGGTAATTGAATTTATGAAAAAAAAGAAAAATATTTTAATGTAAAAAATTCTTTGTTTAATATCAGCGCTAACAGGGTTGTATGTTAAAACCTTAAAAGTTTTATTCTAATTTATTGTTCATAATTATTCTTGTTCCGGTTGAACTGAAAAATATTGTCCTGTAAAAATTTTTATTGTATTATTTAATAAAAATATCCTTTTTATTTATAAAATCCTAGCAGTTATATTATTTTAGCTACTAGGTACATTGATAATTATCAATACTTTAGTACCTTGAAAATTTAATAAATGTGATAACTATTTTCTCGCAATAAATAAAATACAACGATTATTTTTCACTCATACGTTTTTTTTTATATTTTTAGTTTTTTTGGAATTATGGAATTATAAAGTATTTTCATTGAATTGAATTAATTGAATTATTTTTTTTATTTTCATAAATATTTTTAAACTTGAAATATTAGTCAGGAAATATAAATTATATGTTAAATTAAAAAACAGCCGCACAAAAGTTGTTCGACTTCAGCATCTTCTAGACAACAGGATTGAGAATTAAAATCTTAGAATCAGCCCAGTAAGAAGTAGGGAATTGAGAAGAATTAAAAAATTTTAAGTTATTACAGAAAAGTTTTTACTTTTACTTTTTCTTTCTGTATAAACCATCAAAGTCTAAAAAAATATTTGTTGAATTTTTTTCTTTTTCTCGTATTATCACTGTTGCTGTATCATACTTATTGTACAAAATCTAATCTAATCTAATCATATTGTGCAAAATATATATAATATATATATATTGTAAAAGCAATGATTAGTTATCTATATTCTGAATCACTATTTGAAGACGAATTCAAACAACTCTTTAAAAACTTTTTTGTTCTAAGTTGTTCAAAAGTGTTCTTTCAGTTGAAACGAAACAATATCTTGTGAAAATTGTTACTATATAGGTACGTTATGATAAAATATTCATAAAATTCCTGCAGTTAGTATTTGTAATTACTACAGATATTGATAATTATCAATTTTTTAGTACTTTGAAAAATTAAGAAATGTGATACTTAACTTATTACTTATATACTTATTTTCTCGCAATAAATAAAATTCAACGATTATTTTTCACTTTATTTTTTTTATATTTTTAGTCGTCCTGGAATTTATTTAGGTACTATAGTTAACAAATTATTGCACTTTTATTTACGTAAGTTTTTAATTAAAGGAATTTGAACCATTATAACGTTACAGTTTTAAAACAAATACTTTCAACAAATTGTTACGTCATAATGGTTCAAATGCCCTTAATTACTCTTATGGAGTATTTTTATTGAAAAAAGCTTTATTAAAAATATTTAATTATTACTATGTAAAATATTCTGTAGCAATTAATTAAATTAATTATTTTTTATTTTCATGCATATTATTTTTATACTCGAAATATTAGTCAGAATTCGTATCAAGTTTTACAGAACTGCTCAATTGCTGTTTCAGCTATACGTCCTAACCATACTCGTATGTCAAAATTGCCATTATCATTTTTTTCAGTGTAGCCGCCACGATAGTGACAAATTCAAATAAAAGCATTGTGTGACTTGGAAATAAAATTAACGAAAAATTGAAATTTTTAAATTATTCTTCAATAGATAATTAGAAAACTAAAATTTTATTTCACCACTCTCTGGACTATAGGATTGAGAATTAAAATTGACGAAGGATTTATATGATAGAGAGCGCCAAATTGACAGAGGTAAGTATTTTAATTTTATAATTATTTATTTATTTAAAGAATTTATATGTCAATTTATTTTAGTAAATATCGTAATAATAAATATTTTATTAGATCGATTTATTTAAAAATAATAATATTTGCAGAATTTATAAACGTCGAGTATCAGGAACAAGGATTTTTTTTAAATTATGGCGACCGTGGTAAATTTTTCTCCCATAACAAAAGATCTTGTTGAAAAGGTTTTGCTTGATTCTGATGATACATCTGTTCGTTGGCTGCAAATAACAATTCCCAACAAAAGTTTTGTGTCAGGAATATCTAAAGCGTCATTAATCAATTTTGGCTTTGATTGTAAACTAGAGTTTTATAAAGCTGAAAACGATTTCCGTGCGTTCATGAAATTTAATGAATGTACTTTAAAAAAAAAATTTAAAGTCACTTGTTATGAAGTACACAATCAGTATGTATATATGGGAAAAACCACTGAAATAAACACTAGTCTGTTTAATGCTTTCATCTGTGTTGCAGATTTTTACATTTTGAATAGGGACTCCTCTAATGACATTAGTTTTATCTGCAAGATAGAGCAGATAAATGTTCCTGATTTAGATGTTGTTATTTCTAAAAATATAACGTCTGCGAAATTTCTCTCTCTTTACGAAGAAAAAAAATTAACAGATTTTAAAATAATTTGTGAAGATCAAGAATTTTGCGTACATAAAATAATTCTTGTGTGTCAATCCGATGTATTTCAAGCCATGTTTGAAAATCCAATGAAAGAATCTCAAGAAAATGTACTTACTGTTAGTGATTTTGAACCAAAAATTGTTCAAGCAATGATTAGATATTTATATACTGATGAAATCACAGAAAATCTATCTGAAGACGAATTGAAACAATTATTATTGATAGCGAACAAATATAATTTGGAAGATTTGAAAAAACTCTCTTTAAAGAAAATATGTAAATTAATAAAAGACTTCAAAGGAGCATACGAATTACTTTTATATATTGAATCCTATAATTTCGATGATTTGAGGGATTTAATGATTAAATTCATGAGCGATAATGCACATTTACTGTCAAAAAAATAATATTTCGATCAGAACATTTGTTAATTTAATTAACTGTATGTCCATGTTTGTAAAAACAACTCTTAAGTTCTGAAAATTTATTATTGTATGGATTTTTTTTGTTCGTTCCTACTTTTATAAGAATGTATACTTCTGCTAATTAATAAATCTACTGCGTTCTTAACTTAGTGGACTGCATTTTTTATATATTTTTATGTGTAAATTTCAGGAAAAATAAAAACAGGATTTTTATTGAAAATATTTAACTATGTGAAATATTTTATAGTAATTAATTAAATTAAATATTTTGTTTTTTAATACATATTTTTATACTTGAAATATTAGTAGGAAAATATAAACTGTAAAATTAAAAAACAGCCGCGCAAAAATTTTTCGACTTAAGCACACTCTGGACAACAGAATTGAGAATTAAAATCTTCGAAAGAGTGAATTCAAATCAAGTGTTATAGAGAACTGTTCAATTCGCAGCATTCGCAGTTTGTCGCCGTCACGATAGTGACAAATTAAAGTAAATTCATTGTGGGACATGTAAATAAAATTAACGAAAAATTGAGATTATTCTTCGATTATTTACCTACTAAGTATTTACTGGCATTTTTATTTACGTAAGTCTTCAATTTATAATAATTTTTATAATTTTTTTTAATGCAAAAGAGTATTTTAGTATGTTTTGTATATTCTTTTCAAAAATGTATAGTACGTTTACAGAGAAAAATGTTTGTTTATCAATTTAAGTGATGACTAATTAAAGAGTGATTTAAGACAGGAATTATTTTCTTGTATTGAATTTTCTTCTGGTTTCTTCTTTTGGCAAAATTTTTTGATATTTGCACAAAGTAAATGTTCAGTAGAGAGACTTTAAGTTACTAAACCGCAATAGTTACTGATACATTAAGTAATGAAATTAATAGATCATGTTTCACGATTCTTAATGACGAGGAGCTTTATTCAGATTGCAAAAACTTGTAAGTAAATATAAATATTGATTATTAAAATAATAAAACTTATGTTATTTAGTATTTTTTAATAATTTTTATGATTATTCTCATTACTTAATGCACCACTAACAAATGATTTTCGGAGATCCTCTAAAACTTTTTTGTAATCAATATATTTTTTTTAGGAATTATTAAAGGTTTGCAGTAAATCTTTGCACTTTTTTCAAAAATATGCCAGTTGGTATACAAATTTCCAATGCATTCAGACAACTTGGCGAATCTGCGGATATTCTTCCGGGAAAATATATTAATTACATAGGATTAATATTTACTAATGAAGAAGTAAAGTCAAAATCACCTCCTCCCATGATCACATTTCAAAAGAATCCAACAATTTCATTTTATTTTAAATTGGAAGACATTGATGGTATTAGGTTTAGTTGTAGCATTGCATTTTCACAAACAGTACCGAATACACACTATCAAATAACACTTTATCACACAAACTCTTTAGGCGAAATGAAAATGAATGATACAATTAACTTAACCGAAATAACAAAAGGCATTACTTCTAAATTTAAGAAACAGTTTTGTTTAACTAATGAGGATGATTCAAATATTTACATATTGTTAAAAATAAAGGAAGTAAAACCATCTGAGGAAATAGATATTCCAAAAAATCAAATGTCTGTGAAATTTCTCTCTCTATATGAGGAAAAAAAATTAACTGACTTCAAAATAATCTGCAAAGATCAAGAATTTTGCGTTCATAAACTGATTCTCGTTTGTCAGTCCGATGTTTTTCAAGCAATGTTTGAAAATCCAATGATAGAATCTCGAGAGAATGTACTTGTAATAAGTGATTTTGAACCAAAAATTGTAGAAGTAATGATTCGTTATCTTTATTCTGATGAAATGACAGAATCACTATCTGAAGACGAATTTAAACAATTATTATTAATTGCAAACAAATATAATTTGGAAAAATTGGAAAAAATTTGTTTCAGCGAGATTTTGAAAGTAATAAAAACCTTTGAGCAAGCTGTAGATTTAGCTATTTTAACTGATTCTCACAATTTTGTCGATATGAAAAAGTTGGTAATTCAATTTATAAGAGAAAATAAAAATATTATGATGTAAAAAATTCTTACTTTAATATAAGCGTTAACAGAGGGTTGTATGTTAAAACTTAAAAAGTTTTCTGTTGTAATTTATTGTTTAGAATTATTCTTCTTTCGGTTGAACAGAAAAATTTTCCTGTAAAAATTTTTATTGTATGATTCAATAAAAGTCTTTTGTTTATTTGCAAAATCCCTGCAATTAAATTATTTTGAACAACTATATTTATGATTATCAATTAAGTACTTTCTAAAATTAATAAATGTGATATTTAATTATTGCTCTCAATAAATAAAACTCAATGATTATTTTTCACTCATACGTCTATAATTTTTTTTTCATGTTTTTATTTGACTCCTGGAATTTATTTACTTGCTAACAAATTGCCGGTACTTTTATTTATGTAACTTTTCAATGAATAGTTCTGTTGTGGACTATTTTTATATCAAAACAAAAGTTCTATTGAGAATATTTAATTATTACTATATGTGAAAATTTCTTTAGCAATCAATTAAGTTATTTTTTTTTTATTTTCATACATATTTTTATACTTCAAATGTTAGTCACAGGAAATATATATTACAAAATTAAAAAACAGCCGCGCAAAAATTGTTTAACTTCAGCACCCTCTGGACAACAGGATTGAGAATTAAAATCTTTGAAAAAGTGAATTCATATCAAGTTTTTGAGAACTGCTCAATTTGCAGTTTGTCGCCAATAAAACCATTGTGAAAATTAGAAATACCAAAAATTAAAGGAAAATTGATATTATCCTGGAATTTATTCACTCGCTTAAAATTTACTGAAATTTTACTAAAATGTAAGTCTTCAATTTATAATAATTTTAATAATGCCTTTTTCATGAAAAATATTTTAGTTATATTTTGCATGTTCTTTTCAAAATTATAGTGTTTCAAAGAAAATAAATTTTATTTCTTAATGCAAGGGAGATTAATTAATTAATTAATTACTATAGAAAATAATTTCTATTAAAAATTATCTTTAATTTATAAACAGACTTAGTGGAGAAAATATTTTAATGTCAAAAAATCTTATCCTTATAAAAATTATTGATTAAATTTTGATAAATTGTCACACTTTCTGTAATACATAAGTTGAAAATAATTAAAATTTTTATATATTTTTAAGTTAAATTGACACATATTTTTTAGTTACTTGAAAGAAATATTATATTTAATTCAAACATAAATTATGATCAATTTTGAATTATATACACAATGAACTTTTAAATTTAAATTAAACATATTTTTTAGTTTAAATTTAAACAAAAACAGAATATATTTTCCGGTTAAATCGAACATATAATACTTTCAAATCAAAGCAGTAGATATTTTTATATATAATATTGGCATTATGCTTATATAAACTGACTTCAATCAAGCAAAATTAAAGTATAATGTTTTCTCAGTGTGACCTTTAAAAATTTATTGAATGGTCCCAGACAAAGATGTAAATATTTTTATTTTAATTATTCAACTCGATAAAGTAACATCAAATTCTGTTTTAAAGAATATCTATAGTAATTATTTTTAAGATACATAAAAAGTTTCTGTAAAAAAAATACTTTTTGCCTTGAAGCTTAGTGATATTAAGGCTTCCATGTGGAAGGATTTTTAATAGAATTTTACTATTTTATTTAGTAGTCACAAATTTTGTTTACTAAATACGACTTTTTACTAATTTAGATTTAGAGAGTCTACCAATTCAAACTATGTTCAAAATTTTATTAGATTGATTTATTTAATAATTATTTATTTTTCCAGAATTTATTAACGTCGAGCATAAAGAGTAAGGATTTTTTTAAACTATGGCGACTGTATTAAATATTTCCGAGATTATGTCGACTCTTAATCCTCATTCTAATGATGATCATGTCCATGTTTATTGGCTGGAAATAAGAATTCCTGAGAGAGCAATGGATTCAGGCAATTGTGAGGCGTCTCCTAAAACTAATAAGACAAAACATTCGTTGAATTGTTCACTAAAGTTTTATAAAATTAATAAAACAATCTCTATATATATTAAATTTTCAAAACTCCCTTCAAGTCACAAATTTAGAGTATCTTGTTATGGCACAAACAAGGAAGTGATGTTGTCTGCAAACCAGGACACAACTATCATAACTGAAAATACATTTAATTTTTATACCTGTATTGAGAACTTAACTATAAACTATGACTTTAATTATTTTAGAGAAATGTTGATGTTTTGCAAAATAGAAGAGATAAATGTTAAAATTTTAGATGTTAGTATTCCTAAAAATATAATTTCTAAACTTCTCTCTCTATATGAAGAAAGAAAATTAACTGATTTTAAAATAATTTGCGAAGATCAAGAATTTTGTGTACATAAAACGATTCTCGTGTGTCATTCGGATGTGTTTCAAGCCATGTTTGAAAATCCGATGAAAGAATCTCGAGAAAATGTACTTGTAATAAGTGATTTTAAACCAAAAATTGTAGAAACAATGATTCGCTACCTATACACAGAGAAAATGAGCGCAGATTTATCTGAAGACAATTTAAAACAGCTTCTTTTGATTGCAAACAAGTATAATGTAGAAAGTTTGAAAAAAAATTGTTTAAGTGAGATGTGTAAATTAGTAAATGACTTCAGAAAAGCTTTGGACATACTTCTTTATGTTGAATTGTATAATTTTGATGATTTGAGGGATTTAATGATTAAATACTTAAAAGATAATGTACACACATTGTCTTAAAAATAAAACTTAGTTCTGTATAATGGTCATACGATTGCAGTGTAATCATGCCTGCCTTTTCATGCATGTATAAAGAACTTTAAGTTCTAAAAATTATTACCCTACGAATTATTTTGTTCTCTTTATTAAAATATTCATTTCTATAATTAATATTGATATTAATATCAAACGTTTACTAAAAAACAGGTCAAATTTGTATAAATTATCAGCGGTCCATGCGAATTGTCAGTTTTCTTCTACATTACAAACTTGCTTCATTACAAATATAATAACAAACAAAAGAAAGAATAAATTTATGACCAGAGCGAAAGAAATATAATGTAATTACAAAATGAAGTTTACTGCCTTAGTAAATAAGAAACCAGCATTCTCTTTGTCGATAGCGCAAGAGTAGAACTAATCATGATAAAAATTTAATTTACCGATGTGCACATCACTTTTTAACTGATAACAATGAATAAAAAGCAAAAGACCTTTTTCTCACGTCGTTTTATTTTATATACACCTAAACACTATTCTTATTGCATTCTTTTCAATTGATAAATAATCGATCTTGACTTAACATTAAAAGATTCACTATTATAATATGCGTTTCAATTGTATATATGTTACCGGCAAAGTATGAAATCCAGGCATTTTATAAAATGCCTAGGCAGTATATAAAAAGCCTGTCCATTTCAGGCAATGTATATAATTAAATTATTTTTTCATATATTGCCTAGGCATTTTATAAAATTCCTAGGTATTTTATAAAATGCCCATCGAGCATAAGGTAAAGTATATAATAGTCTCAGCAGCTTGAAACGTCTACCTTTTTCTATAAACACTTTCCACGATTTTTCTATTACAAATAGAAAATAATAAGTATATAACAATAAGTATTTTAGCTATGTTTACATAGCTGCATGTTAGCAGTGAGTAATTTTATACAATGAAGTTCAATATTTCTAACTCTTAAGAATAATACTTAATTAACAGAAAATACAAATTTTGTCAGTCAATTCTCACATTTTGAGGTAATCAGTCGCAGAAACATAAATTTGAACTTAAAATGAGTGCAGAAATAGGAAATGTTTCAGTGACAAGGGATAGATTTTTTCCGAATTTTCTAAAATTAAAAATGCAATGGCAAAAAACAGTATATTTTTATCAGACGAACGGTATAAGCAGTTGATAAGTGATGTTAATAATGTTAAAGCTACCGAGAAAAAGGAACAGGCCAAGGTTTTGTAAAATGTTCTTGTAAAAAACTGTCAAAGCAACAAATATTTATGCATAAAAAATAAGGTCCAGTGTCAGTCGAAATGTCATTCAAGTATGCCGTGTTGTAACAAATAAATTACAAAAGAAAGTTAATATTTTTATAACAGAAAAATGTATATTATTTGAAATAAAACTAAATTTTATACTTTGCCTAAAGTCTAGTGGGCATTTTATATAATGCCTAGGCAATGTATAGAAAATCTTTTTTTTATACACATTGCCTGAGACAGACAGGCATTTTATATACTGCCTAGGTATTTTATAAAATGCCTGATTACATACTTTGCCGGTAACATATACAAGGAAATAATTTTTTTTCTGTCTCTCTCTCTATCTCTTTCCTTCTCTTTCTCTAAAATAAAATGATTCCTGGCATGCTAAATTATTATCGTTTCAAAGAAGTTAAGGATATTCTTGTTTTATTTCAACTCATGGTTAAAATAGCAAAATCGACTTACGAACAAAGAGTTGGCATTTGAATGCCAGATGAATGTCGTTCGTCTGTATAATGAAATTCCGCACTTTATAACATTGTAAATGTTAGGACTCGAAAAAATTTATTTTCCAATTTCTGTTTTGACGCTAAATATCATTTTTCTCTTTTTTTAAAACTCTTTTTGTACTTCAGTGTCAAGGAAAAAATTTGTTTCCTATTCTATTTAATTATTTATTATTCCCTATTTTCCTTCTCTTTATTTTCTTTTTCTTTCTTTCTCTTCTCCTTTTTCTTTTCTCCCTGAGAAAAATTCTCTTTCTCTCTTTCTTGTTCTTGACAAAAAAAAAAAATATATTTTGTGAATAAAATCGATACTTCCGCTTTAGAATAAATTTCGTGATAATTTCCGAGAATTGGTAAAAATGAGAAGTTGATTAATTTTAATTAATCAACTTCTCATTTTTACCAATTCTCAGAATTTATCACGAAATTTATTTATACTCATTATTCCATTTTACATAAAAAAAAATTCCCCCCTCCCTATAAAGAATGAAAAGAAAATAAATTACTTTTCAAAAAGAAATCTCTGTATACAATAAAAATTTTTTTTTTAAAAAATGAAAACTGTGTCACTCTGAAAAACTAATCAAATTAAACAGAATCAATTTTCTCAGTATATATAGTCTTATTATTTAAACATAAAAAAAAGGATGAAAAACATTTTTTTTCCTCTGAAATTATAATTATGGGTCAATTATAACGGTTAGAACCTTTTAGTTAATGTTTCTTGACACTTCAGAGTTTGTAAATCAAGCATTACTGATGGGCGTTGGTTATTCTGTTTAGGAAGGAAGGAAAAATAAATATTACTGAGAACACCCATAGAGAAAGTGATACTTGAACATAAAGATTTAATGATCAAGAAAAACGGTGACCGAGAGCTATAACCGCTTTCCAAATAATTGAATAGTATTTTTGTCGTTGATAAGAAATTTTACACGCTTCACTAAATTTAAAATCATTCGCGAAATTTCAAAGTCGAAAGAATTTCTTTTATTTCGCTTCTATGGTAAAAATGTTGGACAAACGTTGAATTTATTACTCGAACACGATTTTAGTATTTAAAAATATTTTCTTTATTATTTTTTAATATTTTTTATTTTTTAATAATTTTTTATTTATCACTACAATTTTATTTATTTATTACTAAAACTATTTTTATTTATATTTTTCTTTTAAATTTTTCTTTATTATTCTTTTCGTTATTTTGTCATTACCAACTAATTTTACCATCGATACTAAAATGAAAGAAATAAAAATAAAAAAAGTATCGAACAATAATTATTATTTTGTTATTTTTTTAGTACCTTCGTATCTTTTTTATTGAACCAATAAAAATAAGTAATAAGAAAAAAAGCATCGAACAACAATTCTTTTGTTAATTTTTTTGTTGAATGATTATTTTAACATCAAAAAGGAAAAAAGTGAAAAATAAAAAGAGAACGAAAAAAAGAGAGAAAAAAACAGAAAAAAAAGAAAAAAAGTGGAACATTAATTTTTATTTGTTTCTATTAAAAAACTTATTTTTATTATCGAAACAATTAAAAATATTTAACAAACAGAAAATATCCGAAAATAATTCTTTATTATTTTTCCTCTAATTTTTCCAATACTTTTTTATCATCGAAATGACTAAAATAAATAAAGAAAAAAAATTATGGAACGATAAGACTGTGGAAAAGATTTGTTAGCGAATATAAACAACAGGAACAGAAAATCTAATTGAATTGTGAACATAAAGAATGCGGTGAAAAAAATATCGAATATGTTAATATTGAAAATTCAACGGAAAGTGTTGGAAATGATATAAAGGTAGGTAGATATCAATGAATCAGTAGCACGCTATTCTTATTTTATATCAAGGAGCATAATTTGTAGAAAGACACGACAAGGTGTTTGACGTCATGTTCACTTGGTTCATTCATGTAGAACGAGTAAATGTCAAGAATTTCCAACTTTTGTCTGGCATTTTTTTTCAATTTGTAAAATTTCATTATTAAATTTCATTCAACTCTTGAATTAATTCATAAAATTTCTAATTAAATTAAGTAAATATTTAATTCATTCTCACATAAAGAATACTTGGATTCTGTAAAAAAAACCGAGAAAAAAAATTAAAAACGAAAAAAAAAAATTAGTAACCAGTAAATTAATTATAATTTAAAAAAAAACAAAAAAAGAAAAAAAACAAACAAAAAAAGTAACAAATTAAAAACGAGAAAATAGTAATTAATACTCAGTAAATTAATTATAATAAATCAGTTTTCATTAAGAAGGCAAAAAAAAACTTCAAAGAAACTGGTTTTAAAATTTTTAATAAACAATAAATTAATTATAATAATTGATAAAATAATTAACAATTTAATTATAACAAAAAAAAACAAAAAAAAATTAAAAACAAGAAAATAGTAATAAAAAAATTAATAAACTAATGGTAATTAATTTTTTGAATTAGTAATCAAGTAAATAATTACAATACTTTCCCCCACTCCTCAAAGACTCAATTTTAAAAAAAAAGTAAAAAAGAACTTCAAAAGCAAAAAAAAATCAAAAAATTAATATTCGTTACATAATTACAAGTAAAATAATAAAACTTTCATTTACGAGTACACAACATAAAAATTTTGAAAGATTCGTAAGAAATGATAAAAATCAAAGTGCAGGCAATAAAAAAATTTGGTGAATGCAAAAATTTTTCTTAAACATCTTAAATGGGTTAATGCATAAAATTTTTTATTTTAATTTTTCTTTTTTTTCTTCTTTTTTTTGCTTGAGAGAAATAGATACCGATCTCTGTGTTAAAGATTCGAGACATGATTTTAGTTATGACTGCAGTGCCTGTCACATGTTTTCATTTTCATTATTTACCCAGGTTCGTAATACAAGGGAGCAATTATTTCGAGTTGTAACAATCGCATAAATCTCCTTGGTTAAGTCAACAGACAAAAAATAAATTGACAGTCATCGTAATTAAATCGTTTCTAATTAATCATACACTCACAAGTCCACTTTCTTGAGGCATTCAATTTCTTTTCTCCCATTTTTCTGTCGTTGGATAAAAAAAAAATTTATTTTTCCCTAGTTTTTTTTTGATAAAATTTGTTTGTCCCTTTTTTGTTTTTAATCCCTTTTTGTTTTTTGCTCATTTTTTTCTATTTTATTCCTCTGTTTTTTTGCCACCTTTTTTGTTTTTTAATCTCTTTTTGTTTCTGTCCCTTTTTGTTGTGTGATTTTTGTTTTTGTCCCTTTTTTGCTTTATAATCCCGTTTTTTGTTTCTCTCTAAATTTTGTCTTTGTCCTATTTTTGGTTTTCGTCCCTTTTTCTTTCTTAATCCCTTTTTTTGTTTTTATTCCTTTTCGTTGTTAATCCCTTTTTGTTGTTGTCTAATTTTTGTCTTTGTCCCATTTTTGTTTTTTGTCCCTTTTTGCTTTCTTAATCCCTTTTTTTGCTTTTATCCCTTTTCGTTTTTTGTCCCTTTTTTCGCAGGGCTGCAATGATTTAAATCAACTTGATTTAAATCATGATTTAAATCTTGATTTAAATCTTGCCATTAAAATCATGATTTAAATCAAACTTTCATTAGAAACAGAAAAGTTTGCAAAATTAGTATTTTTGTTTAAAGTTTTATATTAAAAAAAAATAAAAAAGAATACATTCAGAGATAATATAATGAATATCATAATTATTAGTTTTGTTTATTTGACTCAAATTAGGGAAAA